GCACAAAAATAGACATGTAGACCAATGGAACTGAATTGAAAACCCTGATTTTAACCCACACACCTATGAACATTTGATTTTTGACAAAGAATCTAAAACTATACAATGGAAAAAAGAAAGCATCTTCAACAAATTGTGCTAGCATAACTGGGTATTGGTATGCAGAAAACTGCAGATACATCCATGTTTATCGCCTTGCATAAAACTTAAGTCCAAATGTATCAAAGACCACAACATAAATCCAGCCACACTGAAACTCTTGGAAGAGAAAGTGGGAGATACTCTTCAACGAATTGGTACAGGAGACCGCTTCCTGAACATAACACTAGTAGCACAGACACTGAGATTGACAATTAACAAATGGGACCTCCTGAAACTAAGCTTCTGTAAGGCAAAAGACACAGTCAACAAGACAAAAAGGCAGTCCACAGAATGGGAAAAGATACTCACTAACCCTATATCTGACAGAGGGCTGATCTCCAAAATTTACAAAGAACTCAAGAAGCAAGTCCCCAAAACACCAAAGGATCCAACTAAAAAGTGGGGTACAGAACTAAATAGAGAATAGTAGAGTCTAAAATGGCTGAGAGACACTTGAAAAGTGCTCAATATCCTTAGCCATCAGGGGAATGCAAATCAAAACAACTCTGAGATACCATCTTACTCCTGTCAGAATGGCTTAAATCAAAAACACCAATGACAATTTATGCTGGAGAGGATGTGGAGAGAGGGGAACCTCCTCCACTACTGGTGGGAGTGCCAACTCTACAGCCACTTTGGGAACCAGTATGGAGATTCCCCAAGAAAATGGGAATCAGTCTACCACAAGACCCAGCAATTCCACTCTTAGGCATATATCCAAAAGATGCAAATTCATACAACAAGGATGTCTGTTCAACTATGTTCATAGTAGCATTATTTGTAATAGCCAGAACCTGGAAGCAACCTAGATGCCCCTCAACTGAAGAGTGGATAGAGAAAATGTGATACATTTACACAATGGAGTACTACTCGATGGGGAAAAAAACAATGGAATCTTGAAATTTTCAGGCAAATGGATGGCGCTAGAAGAAACCATCCTGAGTGAGGTAACCCAGTCACAAAAAGACAAACATGGTATGTACTCACTCATAATTGGATTTTAGACATGGATCAGGGGAGTGCCAGTCAACAATCCCACTGCCAGAGGCAGGGAAACAGGAAAGAACCTAAGAGAGATATGCATGGTACCCCAGAGAAGAGGAATGAGGCAAGATCTCCTGAACAGATTAGGAATATGGGGGGGGGGGGTGGGAGCTGGGAAGAAGAGAGTGGGGGAGAAGAGGAAGAAAGAGTAGGTCATGGTGGAACAGGAAAGTTGAGTTGGGATAGAATAGGGGGAGAACAGGATGAGAAATACATAATGGAGGGAGTCATAGTTTTGAAGAGAGATCTGGCACCAGGGAGACCTCTAGTTATCTACAAGGATGACACCAACTGGCAATCTAAGCAATAGTGGAGAGACTACCTTAAATGCCCATTCCTGATAATGAGATTGAGGACTACCTTATGTGTCATCCTAGAACCTTCATCCAGTGACTGATGGAAGCAAAGGCAAACACCCACAGCTAAACACTGAACTTAACCCCTGGAACCCAGTAACAGAGAGAGAGGAGCAATGAGCAAATGGGCTAAGAATAATTGGCTGGCGAAACCAGCAGAGACAGCTGACCTGAACAAGGGGGGAGCTCTTGGACCCCAGACAGACACCTGGGAGGCCAGCATGGGACTGATTCAGACCCCCTGAGTGTGAGAGTCAGTGAGGAGGCCTGGGCAACCTATGGGGCCCTGGGCAGTAGATCAGTGTTTATCTCCGGCATACAAGCGGACATTGTGTGTCCATAACACAAAGAGGGATGCTCTCTCAGCCTGGACTCTTAGGGGAGTGCCTGGACCATGCCCTGGGCAAAATAACAGACTCTGGAGATCACCTATGTGGAAGGAAGTGGGGATAGGCTGGGAGGCTGGGGGGGACGTGGGGGGTGCAGGAGGAGGAGGGGGGAGGGAACTGGGATTGACATGTGAAGCCAGTTCTTTTCTAAAGAAATGTAATAAAAATAATGAAAGGAAATAAAAAGAGTTACCCCTAGGCTTCTGCCCCAGCCACTCTGCTCGCTTGTTGCCACTTTCCTGCCTTAATGGCGATGGGATTTTCCCTCTGGAACGGTAAGCCCCAAACAAACCCTTTATTCTGTTAAGTTGCTTTTCTCATAGTGCTTATTTTGCTTTGCTATTTGTGTTTCTCCTCTAATGTGTAAGCAGTTTGTTTATTTCAAAATTCAACAGCTGAATCAGATGCAATTTCAAGTGGTTGTGTAACAAAAAAAATGGCCCATGTCTCCTGGATTAAATTCCAAGATATCATCTAATGTGATCATGTGGAATAAAATTTAAGTGGAACCTTTCATTCACAAAAATCAGTTGTTTCTTTTAGAAGACGGTGCCTGTCCTCAACCTTACCAGCCTTGGTCACCCTACTACATAGGTAAGTGTCACACCTGCTGTGCGGCCTGCATCCGAGAATGTAGCGAGGTGGTCGGGATAGATGACACAGAGACCGGTCGGTTGCTTTAAGAAAACTTTATCTTCCCAAGTCAGCTTAGGAGAGAGCTCTCCGAAGAAATCTCAGGAGAAGTCTCTCTAAGAAAAAGGAGCTTCCCTTTTTAAGGACTTTTGCCATCCATTTACATACCATTCTTTCCACTTCTCACCCTCCTGGCTGGTGGTTTAATCTCCGGCCCCAGAATCGGGGAGACACCACAGGGGGCAGGAAGAGGCATCTAGCCATAGGAGGTGTGGAAGGCATGGTATTTCAGTGAGCCAGCCCTTATCTGAGCCCTATCAAGCTTTAAAGCACTGAATTGTTTTCAGTAAACATTACATAGATGCCTGCTCCCAGGCCGAAGGGGAAGTGGGTTTCTGCTCAAGGTCTGGTGTCCCCACAGGTAAGGATATCGTGCCAAAATCCAACAGCCCTACCTACCGAAGATGCGCTGACAGGAGATCTCACTTCCCTCCCCATGGGTTTCTACCTCAGTCCCTCTGTCAGATCAAGAATAATGGGTATGCCCTGTACATTATCCCTACCCAGCTTTAAATTGCTACAAAAGGAATGGCATACATTCCATGTCAAAGATTGGCCATCATTAATCTCTTAATAGGGAAATACAGATGTCAATTTAAACAATTTAAGATGAGTGGGCATGATGGGTTGTTTTTGACTCAGGGCATGTGGGGCCCACATAATATTTTAGAAATAATGCCCCAAAGACATCAATCTGGGATAGATGCTCCTGTAGCATGTGGCTAATACAGACTGGACCATGATAGGCAAGACCATCACTGCCTCAAGGTCAGGTTGTTATTAACCACAATAAACCCCAAATGTACTTGCTCCAGGGCACTATGACATTGAAACACTGCTTGATTGCCTATGTAGAACACCCTATAAAAACAACAATCTTTACAATGCCTCTGTACAAACCAAATGGCTCACACTTGTAATCCCAACAATTGGGAGATAGAGTCAGAAGCACTGAGTCTAAGGCCAGTCTTGTATAACAAATCTGAGGCTAGCCACGTGAAACCCTCTCTCAACTGGATGATGGCAGAGTTCAGAGGATTATCAGAACTCAGAAGAAAAGTTAGGGGATACTGGAGAATTGAGGGCAATTAAAATAAGAGCAGAGTCAGTAATGAGAAGAAAGCATTTCCCGAGCATGGAAAGGAACCCATCGGGAAGACAGTTCAACTGCAGTAGAATTAGTAAACGCCTGTCTCTGCAGTTACTGCTTACAATAGCATGTTAGCAGTAGGGATGAAGAGTAAGGGCTAAGAATATTCACTCATACCGGTGTGTGTGTGTGTGTGTGTGTGCACGCACACGTGCGTGTTTGCATATAACGCTACACACGCATACATGAAATGCGTTGTCCTAGCCTGTTTTCTGTTGCTATATTTGATGGTGGTCTCATGAGATTAGATTGGAACTGAACATTTCCTACCCCATAGTTATGGAGCTTTTATAAGCTGTAGCACATAATTCATATTTTTGTGGCAAGCACACCTTGAGTTTTTAGTCATACAGAAGTATAGTACTTACAATTACAGTGTGTCCTGTTATTTAGATACAGAAATAACACATTTCTCAGAAATGTACATACACCTGTCGTTAAGCAAAGCATGATTGTATTTGGTCCTTATCTTTGTCCTGAGTGAACTATATCAAAAACAGAAATAAATATATTTGTGTCAGAATTTATTGAATAACAGTGAACTTGCAGCATATAGCAGTTTTATTGGTAGCAAGAAATCCAAGTTTCCTTGATAGCTAGGTGAGGCTAACACAAGTCCTTTTTTTTTAATATCAGTGTGTGTGTGTGTGTGTGTGTGTGTGTGTGTTGCATTCTGTTAAGACTAGAGGTCAAAGTCAGGCATCTTCCTCTATCATTATTCACTTATTTATTTATTTATTTATTTATTTATTTACTCATTGTTAAGTCCCAGAGCTCCAGGTTTCAGCTAGCCTGCCCTTCTTTTCCTTTTAATCATGTACACTCCCGGAGTCTAAAGCAGTATATAATTCTTCTCACAGCTCATTGTCTACTCTATCTCACTAAAAAAAAAAAAAACAAAAAAAACTGCAAACCAAATGACGTTCCCTTTTGTTCTCTGCTCTGTTTCAAAAGTCTTACAACGCAATACGATTTCAAGTAACTGCGGGAGAAGTGGGTCTGGCCTCACCACCATTCATACAAATGCATTTACAATGCACTCCACAACCAAGACTCCACAGTGCTGGTAAACGCGGGGCGGTTTGAGGTGTCTCCACTGCAGCCGCACACCAGAACGGCAGAGCAAGTCGACTTCAAATCCCAGAATCTCTGGATCCCAGAGTAGACTACACTTCCCAGAGTCCTGCGCGTCCGCCGTCCTCGGACCCCGCCCTCTCTCGCCCCGCCTACCCCGGCAGCTTCAGCGGCCCCAGGGTGTCTGTCGCTCGGTTTGCAGCGCTGGACCCAGTACTCCCTGCTGAGTCTCCACGCGCGCGCGGTGACTCGGCGCCTTCATGAGGCGTGGCGGGAGCCAGAGGGAGGTGAGCGGAGTGGCAAGGCTGGAGGACGTGGAGGCTTATGGCGGCCTCAGCCTGGGCCGTCCTGAGCCACTGGTCCCCTTTCTGGAGTTTTCTCTAGGAGTCTGGAAATTGACCCCTTGACAGCAACTGCGCAGTTGGGTGGGCAGCACGTGGAGTGAAGGAACACCGTCTTGGACCGGTGTCAGATCTGAGCAGGTGGAAACGGGTGCGTCCCCACTTTGGCCTCAGTTTCCTGATCTGAAGGGGACGGACAGTGCCAACCGAGCTGTGGTGAGCAGTGCTGAGTGATGCTTGGCACGTGGGGGCGCAGCGAGTCCCCTCTATGATGGAGTCCAGTGTCGCCTGAGCCTTCTCTGATACCCATCCCCAGCTCCTGCTTCTCTCTCTGGAGGCAGGAGAGCCAGGCTCGCCTGATGCTGATGGGATGCATTCGGAGATGATGCTTCTGAGGGGTGCGAAGCAGTCCTACTTTTTTTCTTCCCTCAGATCACATTTTTGGAGACTGTACCCATCTTTGAGAAAAGCCCAGAAAGAGAACATGGCTCCAGAGCAAAGGGAAGGGAAGTCTCAGGTGAGCGCGTTGCCATCTCAGTTCTTAGATGGTTTTGTGTGGCTTTGGTTTTCCATCCTGACTGAAGCCCTTCATCAGGGAGGACTTGGTGCCCATGGAGGAACTGGTCCTTCCTCACGGGATGTTTGTGTAGGGAGCGCACTCCATGCTCACAGTTACCTGACCTCGGTGTTGGCTGAGCCCAGTCTGCTGCGTTCTTACTGACAGTGACACGCTAGTGCCCTCCTATCACTGGGATCACGCCTGGGAAAAGTCCCTTCGGGTCTGCCTCCTTTCTTCGTCTGTTTCTCTCGGCCCTCACCCACATTGCTCATCTATTTCTTTTTGCCCTTGAAATGCTTATGATGCTCCGCCAGCCTTCTCCAACCCATAGTTTTCCCCTTCACTCTTTGGGTCCGAAGTGTCGAATGTACTGTTCTTGGGAAAACTAGTCTTGACCTGCCACTTTAAGGTTCAGGAATTTAGAGACCCCGAATGGACAAAGGAAAGCCATACTGCGGGGGACACAGTTTCAGGAGCCCGACTCTGGAACAGGGAGGCAACTTCTGAAGAAGCCACGTAGAGGGTTTCATGGGTCTTTGGCAGAAAAATCAGTGAGCACAGTGGTCAGGAAATGGGATGCTGAAGACAAATGAATTTTAACCCATCCCATCTGTTACCATTTGTAGGCCTTGTGAAAGTAAGTCTACCTCTATGTGCCTCAGTTTCCTCTTAATAAAATAAAAATAACAACCCTGTCCTCTTCTAGGATAGATCAGAAGATGACATAGTTTGTGGAAAGTGTTTAGATCAGGCCAGGTGCATAGTGATGGCTCAGCCTGAGTTACCATGGTACCAGATAATATCTACATTAACCATACAGGTTGTCTTTGGACCCATAAGGGACTGGGATCTGGGCAGCTCCATTTCCTTAAGCCTTTACATTCCATCTAGAAGAGTCAAGATTTGTTCATGTCCTCAGCCTTCATTCCCGTGTGTGAATCCTCTCCTACATCTCCCTTATCTTCTCCCATATGTCAATACTACTGTTAAAACAAAACCAAAAATCCTCAGTGTCCAGAAGTTTAAAAGAAAGAGGAAAGAGGAGTAGGTTCTGTGTTCACGTTGGAAATCTTCAGTTGAGGTGCTGCTACCAGTGCTGAAGTTTGTGACACTAGGTGTCGGAAGCTCTCATTTTTGTTTCTGAAGTGAGGGTTGTAGTAGAAGATGGTGTGTGGGCTTACCAGTCTAGCTATGCAGCTGTTTTGCATTACTGAAATTATTTTATGTTCCTGTGTGCTGGCTAGGTCAGAAATTCTTTAAAAGCAATGACCATCTTTTGCATTCTCTCCATAGTAAATTATTTTTCCTACATAGGCATTGCGTGCATGTGAAAATTAAGAATAAACAATCTTGTCGGGCATAGAGGTGCATGCCTTTAATCCCAGTACTAGGGAGGCAGAGGCAGGTGGATCTCCGTGAGTTTGAGGCAAGTCTGGTCTACCATACCAAGTTCTAGTTTCATCCAGAGCTATAAAGGCCCTATCTCAGAAACAAACACAAAATAAAAAACTAAAAAGCATCTGAAGATTTCTACTTACCATGGTGTGCACTTAATGGCCACAATGCCTGCACACAAAGCCAGGCTCCTACTCACTGCTCTCTTGGTGTATTTGTCACTGGCTGGATTGATCATTACATGGATGGCCTGGCCCCTTTAGAACCTCAGTGACATCAGCAACATTTCATGATGGCCTGTCCACCTTCTACACTGTCACCTCCCTATGCTGTATGAGGCTGGTCCTTGATGAGGTGGAAATGGCTTTTCCTCACAGGTGTCGGTGACGTTTGAGGATGTGGCTGTGCTCTTTACTCGGGATGAGTGGAAGAAGCTGGATCACTCACAGAGAAGCCTGTACCGTGAGGTGATGCTGGAGAACTACAGCAACCTGGCCTCACTGGGTAAGGGAGTTCCCTGTGGGCGTAGATGCAGAAATGAGACTTCAGCACCTCCTGCCCTGAATGAGAGCTGTGGTCATTAAAACACCCTAACTGGGTTTTGCTGTAGGACTGTACAAATCAGATCTCTATAAATATTGAAACTGTTTTCCACCTAGAGGTGTTTAAGTGCCCCAAATAGGAGAACACAGGGGATTGATGCTCATACTATCACCCACTGTCTCTAGTTTGACAGTAGGAATTCCTTCAGCATTGAAGCTGAAGCTGCATTTTCCTATTATATTTATTCTGTGTTGCATGTAAACAAAGACTTCCTCAACCCTCCTCTCCTGTTTCTTGCCTTTCTGGCTTTTCTTTTGCAGTCAGGTAAATACTGTATACTCTGTTCTTGAAAGTTTCAAGTAGTCTTTTCTCTTCGAACAAGCTACTTAACGCCTTACCTTTCTCACAGATACCTGCTTGTAAGATTTTATGCCTGAACACCCCAACGTTCGTTTTCTAGAACTGCCTGCTTATCATGTTTCCATAATGTATAATGTTTCTCCCAGTCATGTCCTGTAAGCCACTGAGCCTCTGCTCCACACATCCCATCGGGTGACAGGGAGCAGCTTAAGTACCCTGTAGAAGTGTTCTGTGCCATGCTCTCAGCTTCCCACACAAATACACAGTGCTTGTTCATGTTACACCAAAACTAAGTCTTCTTATTGTTAATTCTGTTGTAATCAGGATTTCCATTCGCCAAACCAGAGATGATCTCCGTGTTGCAGCAAGGAGAAGAACCCTGGAAAGTAGAGAAAAGAAGTCTTGGCTTCTCTCTCGGTGAGTGGGTGGGTCAGAAATACCCCAGAAAATCTCTGCAAAGTAAGAATAAAAAAGGCAGTCTCAGTGACTGGTGACTGCCCTAGACCAACAGTTTGTTCTTCAGTGACAGGGTTATGGGGAGGACCCAGGATAAGAGATAAAGAGGACAGGAAAGCTGGGTCAGGAATGTCTGTGCCAAGCAAGTTTTTTAAGAAGTACAACAGCTTATATTCTGTTTGTGGCAGGGAACAGGAGAGTCATTGGAAAGTTATCATATAATGGGACAAAGTCAGTAGGAAGCTAATCAAGAAATGTTGTACAAAGGGAACAGAGGATATCTTAAGGTTGAGCCCTCAGCAACCTTGGGGCTGATAACCATAGCTTTTTTGGGGTTAGAGAGTTGCATTCTCAGGATCTGAAGCTGAACCTCCCCCAAAGCTCTGTCCCAATGCAGTTATACTGGCCCTGCCAAGTGTGTTTCCTCTCCTTACACCAGGGCCTCAGAGAAAGCCTTGGATTGGCCTGTCCCTCAACAGTAGACTTCTTCAGGACTGATGGGAAAGGGAAATCCCAGGCTCCTAGACCCTAGCTTCCCCTCCTGTCTCTGTTCACTTTTCAAATGTGTATCTCAGGATCTCTATTCTTTCTTAGAAGGCTACATTCATGTACAAGAAGTCACTATATTTAAGGGTGTATTGGAAGTAATATACAGAGTATAGGGAAAAGAGACAAGGGAATGAGCTTCGAAGGCCACTGTGCTTTGGTACGGCTTTAAGAGATTTGGACTGTCCTGTGGATAATAGGAATATCTAGGAAGTTTAAGGAGAAATTTATGATCCCTGGTATTTTTATGGGAAAACAAGGTCTGGTGCAGAAATAAATGCCCTGAATAAACACATAACTAAAGAAGTTCTGATGTGTCCTCACTCTGATATGGACAGAGCTCCAAGACACGCTGAGTAAGAAGGTTACAGAGCTCTGTGAAGATGTGGTACCATCTACGTTAAAGAAAGTGTATTGTTTACATGAGCGAGTCTGTATAAACAGGGAGACATAAGGACAAAACTGGAAACAGTAGTTCCTTTTGGAATGCATCTGTAAAAGGGGACTGTACTCATATGTATTGTTTTTGCAGAGACTGTTAACATACATGAAGTGCTCATGTGATTGAAACTCAGTAAGACTGGCTATTTTGGGAGCATTAGGAAGACAGATTCAAAATAGGCCAAGTTAGAGGTGGGAAGCCTCCAGGAGGGCCTGGGTGGAGAAGCCTGCTCCGGGAGTCATGGAAGTGAGGAAGAGGCTATTAGGGGAGAGAGTAACAGTTTGTGTGGTTGAAGTACTCTGGTAGTTGTTCACCCACAGATAGTTGTATAAGGTCAGACAGGTTGGAACCTACATGACTACAGAGGGCAGAATCCCAGGAAGGCCACTGCACGATGCTTAAGGAAGAGGAATCAGAGATGAGGAGAGAGAAATGGAAGAGACGGTGTTTTGGCAGTTGAGAGTTGAATAAAGGAGATGCCTTCACTTGAGAGCAGGACTCCCAGCTTGGCCCCACCATCTGGCTGTGTCTTTATCTAAGTAAGCTGGATATAAACAAGGCAGCATCAGACAGGATGGGGCCTGGTCCTGCTCTTGTGCAATCCAGTGGGGACAGTGAGAATGAACTCGCCAAGCACACACGGGACACAGAAGTCTAGTGAGGACCAGGGAACAAAGACACAGAGTGCTGTGAGAGTTCAGGCCAGGAGCACTGCAGCCAGGACTCCCTGAGCATGTGGAGTCTAGTCTAGGAAATGTTGAGTGATATCAGGTCAGGAGAAGGGAGCCAGTGTTGGCCCCAGAGAGAGGGCAGGAGACAGCAGTAGGGCTAGACCCTGCTGAGGCCCATCGAAGGGTTTGATCTGAGGATTTGAGTCTTGCACAGGCCTGAGGAGTCATAAGCACCCTGGAGCTGGACCCAGCTCTCCCTGCCCCCTTCAGAGAACAATTTCTTGTCCCCAGTAGGAGAGCTTGAGGGCTAGGACCCTGGGATGGGGATACTGGGGAACAGGTCTAACAATGAGAATCAGGGAAGAGCTGAAAGCCTGGCTATACCCTGTTCTGACAGACCCTGAATAAGAAAGCCTTTCTCCTTTAGTCTGAAGTGACAGTTTCTGATGTGGAGACCATGGTTGTCTACCTTTGAAACCCTTGTTTGGAGAAATACAGTGATTCCATGGACTTACAGTTTCAGAGGACTAGAGTCCATGACGGTGGGCTGGAGGTAGCAGGAGGCAGGCAGCAGGAGCAGCGGCCGAGAGCTCACATCGTAAGCAGCCAGCAGGAGGCAGAGAGCACTGGGAGTGGAGGGAGACCTCTCAAGCCTCAAAGCTGCCTCCTCAACAAGTCCACACCTCCTGACCCTCCCCCAGGAGCTGCCAGCTTCCCATCCACCTCCGGCTCCTGTTTTCATTTTAAGGGTTCCAGCACACCCCTCCCTAGGTTTTCTTCACTTGCTCCTTCCTTCCCATCTTCAAATGGCTGTGGACCTGCATGGCTTGCATACCTGTGTTGGACGAGTTTCTTCATAAGTAGACTCAGTCAATCCAACCTTCCTTCTGGACTTCCTTTCTGGTTTGGGAGGCTTGTTGTTGTGTTTCTTTTTGTTTTTTGGGTTTTGTTTTGAAACAGTCTTGTGTAACCGGACTGACTTTGAACTCCTTTGCCTCCTGCCACTAATTCTCAAGAGCTGGGATTATGGACATGTGTCACCATGCCTGGTTAACATTGTCCATATTCTTTATCCCCTCACTGTCGAGTGCCATGTGTATTAGCCCAGGTTGTGGGGCCATATGTTGTGGACTGATGTTTGCCGGGCTGCAACTAGAACCAGCCAAAAAGCCCCAGGTCCATTCCTGAGTGGGGGAGTGTGGATGAGGGAAGGCTAGATATTGGTGTTAAAGAGAAGACAAGACATCAGATTGTATCAAGAGGGCAGTATCAGTTAATACTGAATGCTACACGTTTATTTCTGCATCAATCTTAAGTAACCAACCAAAGGTGGGGACAATGGCAGAAGACTTCTATTATCATGTATAAAGGGCAGATAGCAATTACTTTCTTTAATCCTAAAGACACTCTGTAGCTGCATGTACTATCTAGCCTTCAGGATGAGTGTAAACTTGAGCCATTCACCACCCAGGCCAGGCCATCCTTCATCCATTAGCTGACATCTTAAAGAAATAGGAGTGGTTTGAGCTATCTGAACTCATGGCAGGCTGGAATAGATTTCCAATATATGGCCCAGACACCTCACCACCCTTCATTTTCTGTCTATATATTGTCACTGCATGATAGTATGTTTTTATTTAAGATCCGTCCCTTCCTCTGTATTGCAAGCTTCATGTAGCAGTTGACTGTAATTCATTCCTGTTTTCCTAAGGCCTGCAGCTGGCTTCTAGTTAGCTCCATGGATGCAGGAGGGACTTGTCCCAGAGGTTTGGAGATAAAGCATCAGGTCATGGAGGATAAAGGAGCTGGGAGTTGAAGGCTGCTGTGAGAGGTGGTGGTAATAGTTGGAGGGTGTATAATTCCTGGTCTCTTGGTCTTTTTAAAAAATATTCTGTATTCACCATTTTCATGTCCTTGCCCATATTTTCCTTTAGCTCTGTCAAGTTTTGTAACAGTCACTGCGCACCATGCCACCATATGATCTTTGGGCAAGATATTTTCTGTTTATTTTGTTCTTTTGTTTTCGTTTTTGTTTAATTTATTGTAGTGCTTGCCAGGCAGGTGCTCTACCACTGAGCCACACGTGAAGCTGCATCTCCCTCCAAAGGGACCTGCTTTCCCGTTTTCTTGTGTGTATGGATGCTCTGCCTGCAGAGACGTCTGTGCACCACGTGCATACAGTGCTCACAGAAGCCAAATAGAGTGTCAGGTCCCCTGCAACTGGAGTCAGACAGGTGTGAGCTGCCATGTGGGGGCTTGGTATTGAACTCAGAACCTCTGAAAGAGCAGCCAGCGCTCAGTGGTTACTAAGTCATCTCTCCAGTCCCCTGCTTTGTCATTTTGTTTAATTAAAATTTAGGCATCTGAATCTTCTCTTGTCAGGGTCTGCTGGGGTTATGGGTAATTTTTCTCTCTAGTTGTTATATGTTGTGTGATTTTTTGTTGTTGTTGTTGTTTTTCGAGACAGGGCTTCTCTGTATTGTTTTGGACCCTGTCCTGGAATTCGCTTGGTAGACCAGGCTTGGTCTCAAACTCAGAGATCCACCTGCCTCTGCCTCCTGAGTGCTGGGATTAAAGGCGTGCGCCACCACCACCCAGCTGTTGTGTGATATTTTAATTGTGTTCTGACAAATAAAGCTTGCTTGGAGTCAGAGGGTGGGGCCAGCCACTAGCTGACCACAGAAGTTTGCAGAACTATAAGAGAAACAGGAAGTGATAAGGTGGGGCAGAGAGGATCTCAGGCCTCTTGGACAGAGGAACAGAAGAGGCTGCTCCCGGTTTTTCTGACCTTTTGGGTTTTACCCCATACCTGACTCCTGATTATTTTTATTGATTAGATTAATGCTTCAGTTATAAGGTACTTCTGTGACAGTAATTCAACTGAGGCATAAACTGCAGACCTTCTCTCTTCTTAGCCTGTGTCTCTCCCTTAACACATACGGTGTCTTTCTGAATCTCCCTCAACTCCCATGCATAGGGCAGTTGTCTCTTGAGTGTTCTTATCCATGAGTGTCTGGCTCTGAGAGACGGGAAGGAGCGAGTAGAGGTGGGGAAGGGCACTAGCCTTTAAAACATCGGGTATCCACTTCTGCATTGGAGATGGGGCGGTGTCCTGCCTTGGGAGATGGTCTTTCCTGCCCCTCAGTTCTTAGGGCTGCTGGAAGAATGCTACTAGGTAGCTCCTTGGAGCTAGTTGCTGAATGAAATGCACTTCAGTTTACTGTCCATGCCTTCCTGTAGAAGCTGCGTAGACTCCAGGGTTTCGCAATAGTTCCAATGGACAGATTTTGCAGGTGCATTTGCTGTCTAGTTAGGGAGTCAGAACCTTGGCATTCATACCATATTCCCTGATATCCACTTCTCCCATCTACCCCACATCCGTTTTACAGTTTGGGCCTTCTCTGCCTACACATGACGTTAAAGATGAGGTCTTGCCAGAAGTGACTCCTTACTGCTGGGGAAGACATTTTGATTAAGTATATATTTTAAATACATTTTTAAAGATTTTGTCCTCTGTGTACTTTTTAAAAATTCACTTTGAGAAACAAGTTTTAAAATAGAAGTTTTCTTAGATTTGAGCTATATAGGAAGAAGATTAGTTCCTCCTGATGCAACAAACACAGAAAGAGGAGTAAGATATATTCTTCTCATTATACTCTATGTGTGGGTGATATGTGAGGTGTTATGTGCTATTACTGTCTCCCAGCCATTGGAGAGCAGGTATGCTACTTAATATCCTGCAATGTGGAGGGCAGTCCCATACAACCGAGAATTATCTGTTCCAGGATGTCAGCTGCTACTAAGAAATTCTGACCTATATCCTGACTTTATTTACTTATGTATTTATATAATGCTGGGTGGTTACCACCCAAGAGTGGCAGAGGTATACTCCATTTTCATTCAAGATGCTTACAAAAAATCTTGTATAGGTTTTTTTATATTTATTGTATTTCTCTTATTCTTTATAAAATTTTGGCTATTACTTTTGTGTGTCAATTCTATGTATGTTTTATCACTGAATGAGTTTTAAAAGATAGTATGCCATTAGCAAATACAGGTAGTTTTTTTAAACTCCTCTCTAATTTACTTGTTTGATTGTAATAATTAATATTTCCTTAAAGGTATAGTAGGGAAAGTGGATATACTTGCCTCGAGTTTCTTCTTTAAATACACCTAGAGTCTCTTCATTAAATAAGGTATTAGCCTTAGGACTAAAGTATTTGAATTTTATCATGTCATGGATACATGCTTCACATCCTGTTTGTGCTTATTATCTGTGTGACACATTTTTGAAGGCTGTTTTGGCATCTTTAGATATATATATTTTCCCCTTAAATACATATAATGTACTTGTGTGCTGTATAGTGGTATTTTAGTAAATGGTGAGCTGCATATACAATAATGGCCCCAGAAGAGTACAGTGGAGCTGAAAACGAACTGTTACCTTGTGACATTGTAGCCATTAAAAGTTAATAGAGGAGCATGGGGAGATGAATATGCGGTTAAGAGTACTTGTTGCTCTTGCAGAGGACCTGGATTTGTTTCCTGGCACTTACATGCTGGTTCACAATCACCATAACTCTAGTTCCGGGGTTCCAATGCCCTCTGCTGACTGTTGCTGGCAATTAGCATGCATGTGATATGTATACATAAATACAGGCAATACACACATAAAATAAAACAGTAAATCTAATTTAGAACTTTTTGAAAAATAGAATGCAAGCTCGTAAAAGTGATAATACTGCTTTAATCCCAGTACTTAAGAGGCAGAAGCATGTGGATCCCTATGAGTCAAGGCTAGCCTGCTCTCCACACTGAGTTCCAGGCCAACCAGGGTTATACAGTAAGGCCCTGCCTCAATAATGAGTAAACAAAATTTAACAGAATGTATTATTCATGTGTTTGTAACAATGCTGATATAAACATGCCAATACTGCTAATAATATAAAAGTATAGCACTAGAATTATATACAGTACATAATATTTGATAATAACAGTAAGTGATTACATTTCTGGTTCATGACTACTGTGCTTTGTATTTTATTACATTATATTAAAATATACTTATGGGAAGAAAGGTTAAATGCATTGCTGTATCTTGTAATAAGTGCTATATTGAGAGGAAGGATGTGGACTGTTGGACTCAGTCAGGAAAAGATGCAACAGAGAGGTTATTTGCATGGAATTGGAAGGTCACTAAGGATTCTGACATGTAGGAAAGGAGAAATAAAATGCTCAAAAAAAAGTGTCAAAAATACCATAATTTATGAGTCCATCATAGTCTTTGGATATCAGACTACATCTCCCAATTCATACTCCTCTAATCCCTCTAGTGGTTACTCTTAATTCTCACCTCCTTAAATGAGCTTTTTGTTTACTCCAGTTGTTTAGCTCTCATACACTATTTTATAAAGTGTTATTTTCCATTTTTTCCTTCTTGCTAGTATCTTTACGCATATAGTATTTATTTAGGTATCATTAATATTCTTCCTATAAATTTAGTCTCAGCCAACCATACCCATAACCAGCAATTCTTTTTTCCTTCCAGGATGCAACAGCAGTCTTCAAACCACAAAATCAACTCAAACTAAAGATTCATCGTTTCAGGGATTAATGAGGAAACAACTCAAAAGAGACAAATCCTGGGACTTCACATCAGGAAAATTCTGCAGATCTGACAACCATTTTAAAAAGCAGGACAAAAATGAAAGCTTACAAACAATTTCAGTCACCCATACAAAAATCCTTACTGTAGATAAGATCCACAATAATTTTGAATTTGGTCTAAATATCAGCCTGAAGTCAGTTGGTAAGCAAAAGATTTCTAGAGAAAAAACACAAAGAAATAGCTTCAAGGAAAATTCAAATTTGCTTAATCAACCAAAAATCAAGACAGCGGAGAAACGCTATAAATGTAATATTTGTGAAAAAGCTTTCATGCACAACTCATCCCTTCGAAAACATCTGAAGAACCATACTGGAGAAAGATTATTTCAATGCAAAGAATGTTTGAAAGCTTTCAGCCAAAGTTCTGCTCTTATTCAACATCAAAGAACTCACACTGGAGAGAAACCCTATATATGTAAAGAATGTGGGAAAGCCTTCAGCCATAGTGCATCCCTTTGTAAGCACCTAAGAACTCATACTTTGGAGAAATCTTATACATGCAAAGAATGTGGAAAATCCTTTAACAGAAGGTCTGGCCTTTTTCTGCATCAAAAAATCCATGCCCGGGAAAATCCTCATAGATATAACCCAGGTAGGAAGGCATCCACTTCCCTTTCAGGATGTCAGAGAATCCATTCCAGAAAGAAGACCTACTTGTGTAACGAATGTGGCAACACCTTTAAGTCTAGCTCATCCCTTCGTTATCATCAGAGAATCCACACTGGAGAGAAACCTTTCAAATGTAGTGAATGTGGCAGAGCCTTCAGTCAGAGTGCATCACTTATTCAACATGAAAGAATTCACACTGGAGAAAGGCCCTACAGATGTAATGAATGCGAGAAAGGCTTCACTTCTATTTCAAGACTCAACAGACACCGAATAATTCACACGGGGGAGAAATTGTATAATTGTAATGAATGTGGCAAAGCCTTAAGTTCCCATTCAACTCTTATTATTCATGAGAGAATTCACACTGGAGAGAAACCATGTAAATGTAAAGTTTGTGGGAAAGCCTTCAGACAAAGTTCAGCTCTGATTCAACATCAGAGAATGCATACTGGAGAAAGACCTTATAAATGTAATGAGTGTGGGAAAACATTCAGGTGTAACTCATCCCTCAGCAACCACCAGCGAATTCATACTGGAGAGAAACCTTACCAATGCATAGAATGTGGCATGTCATTTGGCCAAAGTGCAGCTCTTATTCAACATCAGAGGATTCACACGGGAGAGAAACCCTTTAAATGTAACACATGTGGGAAGAGTTTTAGGCAAAGCTCCTCCCTTACAGCACATCAGCGAATTCATACTGGAGAGAAGCCCTATGAATGCACTGCATGTGGGAAGCTCTTCAGCCAGAGATCCTCCCTTACCAATCACTACAAAATTCATATTGAAGAAGACTCCCTGAATATAGATTTGCATGAGTAAAAGCAATTAACCAAAGTTCCTAAAAGAATATATACTTGACATAATATAGTGAATATGAGGAAACTTTCAACTTAGTCCTATGAGATTAAAATTACAAAGAAATCTTGGTTATATAATAAGGAAAATTTTCCTATCTTTCAGTCACTTTTTAAGATCAGACATTAATATTGACCATTTATAAGGTAAAAGGAACACTTATCTGCATAATATATAATATTCAGGAGTGCTGTGCTGTTGTTATTAGCAAAAGGAATATCAGCTATTAGCGTATTTACTACAACTAATATTTTAATAGTAAATAACTAAAATAAATGCATTTTTAAATCAAGGGATCAAGTTTTTAAAAAACTACCTCACAATGTCTGAAGTGTTCCTTTTCCTACTGTCTGAAATTTTCTTTTTCCTATACTATTGTCAAACTGCATGATTTTTATTAGAAAGAAAAAATTGTTCTCTTAAAATTTTGTGCTTCTAATTTTTTAACATCCCTACAAACCTCCCACACTTAATATACATATTCTAATTTTGTGCTGTGAATTATTTTCCTTTGTTGCCTTGAATCATTAATTATTAAGCCATGTCCTGAATGGCAATATTAAATACTTGGCATAGTTACTTTGGAACAAGCAGGCTAGCTAAACATGCCAAAATGAGGTATGAGAGAGCTATTAATGAAGGCATATGACATCAACTGGCTCACACACACACACCATACACATGAACACCCAAACATGCTGACCACATACAGACACACATAGGACAAAATTACATTTTTCAGCACTAATATATAGACACACTTGATTTTTACATATTTGCCTTACAGAAGTGACATAGTTAATTTGTGTATGCATATTAATTTTTTTCTTTTTTTTGGTTTTTCGAGACAGGGTTTCTCTGTGTAGCTTTGAAGCCTATCCTGGCACTCACTCTATAGACCAGGCTGGCCTCGAACTTACAGAGATCCACCTGCCTCTGCCTCCCGAGTGCTGGGATTAAAGGCATGTACCACCAACGCCCAGCTTGAATTTCTTTCTAATAGTTTATTTGTAGATTCTTTGCATTCACAATCATGTTATCTACAAATACCATTTTTTTCCTCTCCTAATCAGTGTCTTATTTTTCTTACAATGTGACACTGCCTATATATCATTTTAGTTTTTCTCATCCGATCAATTTATTTTTCTTATTTATAGGACTGTACAACATAGCACCAAACAATGAAAATAATACTTTCCCATTTAACATACTAGTTTCAGCTTGTGGATGTGTGTCCTGAAACTGACTGAACAGTTCTTGTGCTTTGAGTTTTAATCAAAAAAGGAATAGCATTCTGTTAACATCCACTTTCTGCATTCACTAAACATGATAGTTTTTCTCCTTATTGTTTTAAGACTAACACTGTGGGCCTGGAGAGATGGCTCGGAGGTTAAGAACACTGACTTCTCTTTCAAAGGTCTGAGTTCAATTCTCAGCAACCACATGGTGGTTCACAACTATCCATAATGAGATCTAGTGCCCTCTTCTGGCCTACAGGCATACATGCAGGCAGAACACTGTATGCATAAGTAAAAAAAAAGGTAACACTGTTTCTGATTCTCACCACTAATGGGGTCCTGTTACAAGCCCAGACTAGCCTAGACATCAATTACGCAGCTATCTTCATTTTTTCATCCTCCTAAATGTTAGATTACAGGCATAAACAATTGCACCCAGCAATTGTCCTAATTTTGATGGTGTATAAATGAAATGAATCCTTATTGGCCATGCTGTATCATAATGTGTATGTTTGTATGTGGGTCAGGTTTCTTATTAAGTAGAAGCCCAACAGAGTGAACACAATTAGTTTGTAAGAACTTAGAGCTGAAAGTTTACTTGTTTTTGTTCTATGTGTGAATATTTTGCCTGCATGCATGGATGTCAAGTATGCAGTTTCTGAGGAGGTCAGAAGAGGACGTCTGAAACCTAGAACTTGAGTCACAATTGTGAGCTGCCATGTGGGTGCTGGGAACTGTTGTGGCATAAACTTTTTGTACGCTGTAAAGATGTGTCTCTGCCAAGAAATCTTCTGATTGGCTTAATAAAGAGCTGAATAGCCAATAGCTAGGCAAGAGAGGATAGGCGGGACTTCTGAAGAGAGGAATTCTGGGAGGAATCTGAGGTACGGAAAATTCACCAGCAAGACACTGGGGGCAGGGGTGGGGAGGAAACAACAGTAGGGAGGAGAGGTAGCTAGCAGCATGGCAGAACGTAGACTAATATGAACAGGTTAGGTTATGAGGGCTAGCTGGGAACAAGCTTTCATAATTGGTAAGTATCTGTGTCATTATTTGGGAGCTGGCGTTCCAAAGAAAGTCCAACTACAGGGAACCAAATTAAGATTCTCTGCAAAAGCAGCCAGTGCTCTTAATTGCGGAGTCAATACTCCAGCCGCAGAAAATTTTTATCACCCATATCTGTTCAATAAATGGAACAGTAACAACACCTGGACAGGAAGGGGAACCTAACTCCAGTTCCAGAGCATTAAACAAGAGCTCAACTCTGAATACAAAAATGCCAGCTAGAGATTTATAGCCAACAAGCAGCACGGTGGACATCAAGGAGGAGCTTTCTGCTAAAAGTATGTCACAGATTTAAAACATAATGGGTGGGGCTTAAGGAATGTGCTCATATGTAGAGGGTAGGAGTCTCAGCAGGTTTTTTGAGCCACATCAAAAAGTGGCCTCCAGAGGCCTCTCCCAATGTTTGGTTCAGGACCCAGCCTTTGTTAAAGGAAACGGAAGATTTGCATCCTGAGGGGAAAAGAACACGGTGGGGAGTGGGGTGTAGAAGGGACTATTGGGGAAGGAGGTCAGCGAAGCAGCACGTGGATGAAAGAGGGTAGCAAGGGATGAATGTGACCACAGCGCACTGTATGCAAGTATGATTATGTCGGTTTTTTTTCCCCCGAAAAACATTAAAGACACAGGCGACCACCTTTATTTAGTTTTAGACAAGCAAACATTACAGTCGCTAACCTATCTTTTTATCCTAAGATGCCACACGCTTCTCCAAGTTCCACAGCGGCAGATGCAGCTGAAATTACCTAAACATCCCCGAGTTCCATCCACGAGACAGTTGGTTTTCCTCAGAAGCAATCCAGCAGCCCCAGGGAGCATCTGGTAGGGAAGTCTAGCTCCCCGCTCACGGAGCGCCACGAAGTCTCTAGGACATTACATTACTGGCTTACCTCTCATGCTCCCTCATGGAAGGGGGTGTCGAGGGTCCTCTTACTTTAGGGAAAGAAGATTCTAGAATCGATTTCTTTAAGACAACAGGTTTAGGGGTGGCCAGCCATCCAGCGCGGGTACCAGGGGACACACCCCTAGCCAGAGCCTTCCAGCTGCGTCTGCGCAATGGGTTACCTTGGCGAGGCCCCATGGCCTTGTGGGAAATGTAGTTCAGCGCGGCCGGCGCGGCTGCGTGTGCCACCAGCCTCTGGTTTTTCTTCCGTGACTGGGGTGAGTGAGGCTCCTCGGGCGGGTGGTCTGTGAGCGGGAAGGTGACGGCGTTCCCACTGGGAGCCCGGGCTGCCGCCCGAGGCGGGGCCGGCCGGGCAGTGAGCTGCGCAGTCCTCCGCGAACCCTGCGGAGTCTCAGGTGCACCGCACATGCGGGCACCAGGCCGCAGGCCCCCTGACCGAGACCCGAGCTCCGCCACTGCTGTACCCCGGAATGAGTCGCACCGGCTTGCTTGCGAACTCTACCTAGCCGGGCAGCCCTGGCCCGGTATGCGGCGCGAACGAGTGGGGGACCCGCTCTCGGAAACCCGGGAGGACTCGGGGCCGCCCGCAGTCGGGGTCTCCTGCCTTTGTGCACACCGCTTTTCGGGATGCGCCCTCTGCTTGCAGGAGCAAAGGAAGCATGCAGAGTGGGGGTCCTGGCTAAGAGAACGTGCCCTCCAGATTTCTTCTCTTTCAGTACATTATTGGTCAACGAGAAAATAAACGATCAAAGTCATTCGAAATCTGTCAAAAATCCGTGCGTGTGTAAATACGTGTATATGTATAAAAAGAAACATTTTACTTCTAACAGTAGGAATGTTAGTCACCTTTACAAATGGAGTTATGAAATGCATTTTGTAAGAAGCTTGAAGTGCTTTTAAACTGTGGTGCCACCACCCAATGAAGATAGAGAATGCACTTAAAACATTAATTTTTAAGGGCAGCTAATACTGTCATTTTAATGAATGGGAGGGAAAAGTATGAATGTTGCCAAATCTAATTGTCTCTTTGGAACTTTGTTATTTTCTATTTTAACACTGTAAATGGTACAGGCCATCTATTTATGTCATTCCTTGGACTGCCTCTTTCCACAGATCTTCAAGTGAAATTATCCAGGTCAATGTTACAGTAAGACCTTTGGACACCCCCTGTCTTATTCTTTACAGACAGAAAGCAGCAGTTTATAAAAATGGTTGAAGTGTAAGAGTGACTGATCCCACACCAACTTGAAGTGTTAATACTCTTTTAAGCCTTGGTGTAGGCCATTTGTGATGGTGTGTTCCTTTAATCCCACAGAGTAAGGGGGATGAGTTTGAGATCCCTGTGCTCTACATAGAGAGTTCTGGGCCAGCCAAGGCTACATAGTAAGACCCTGTTTCAAAAAAAAATATATCCCAGAGCTAAACTCCAGCTCATTTTATTAATAACTTTTACATCTGTTCTACAAACAGGTTTCATGAATATAAAGAAAGTCACATATTCCTATAGTCATATAAACCTTCCCTTTGTTTTCTTTTTCCATTTTCACATGTGTGTATATGCACATGTGTCCAAGTATATGAGGCCTGACATCAAACCCACAGGCAGTCTGCCTGCATCCTTTTTCTCATGCTTACACAGCAAATGCACTATCCACTGAGCTATCCCAGGGCTGCCTCCCTCCACCTCCATTGTGTTTACAATAATTAGAGAGATTTCTGTTTCATAACATCACAAAGATGTTCATTTATAGTTTCTTACTGAATTCTCATTCCATTTTTGCATCCTTACTCTTTTCCTTGTTATGTTATTGGATAGTTAATCCTTTCATCGTTGATAAGAGATGCCATCTTTCTCAGTCTTAGTCCACCCCACCTACCCCCTGCCTTCACTGTGGTAGGGATCAAATTCAGGGGCTTTCATTGAGCTATAACTCAGCCCCTGAATTCTCTCTCTCTCTCTCTCTCTCTCTCTCTCTCTCTCTCTCTCTCTCTCTCTCTCTCTCTCTCTCTCTCTCTCTCTGTGTGTGTGTGTGTGTATTTTCTGAACTACTTATACTACTAGGATTTAGATTTATTGCATTGTTGTTTCTTGTTAGTCTGTAATATCCATGAAGGTGAAGACTTTGCCTGTTGTATTTGCAGCTGAACTCACTATTACTTGGCATGCTGCTATTCTCACAGTAGGTGTGTTGACAAGACATTTAATATGTCAGACATTCTTTGGTAATACTATTGAGCTGACTGGTTTTGTTTCAACTTGACACAGGTTGGAGTTATCCATACAAAAAGAGTGAGCCTCAGTTGAGAAAATGTCTCCATAAGATCTGGCTCTAGGGCATTTCTTAATTAGTGGTTGATATGTGGGTGGTACCATCCCTGGGCTGGTTGTGCTGGGCTCTTAAAAAAAAAAAGGCAGGCCAAGCAAGCCATAATTAATTAGTAAACCAATAAGCAGTATTCTTCCATGGCCTCTGCATCACCTCCTGCCTGTTTGAGTTTCTGCCTTCACTTTCTTCAATAGTGAGCAGTGTCATGGAAATATAAGCCAAAGAAACCCATTCCTCCTCAAGCAGTGTGTCATTACTGCAATAACTAAGACAATTGTGTTCTAGTTTTAATGTCATTTAAAACTCTGGTGGGCAAGTTCTCTTTCATGACAATAACTTTAAATTGAAATAATGTGCATATTTGTGTGTGATAGTATTATAATTTGATGCCCAGTCCACAAGACCCCCAGAGAGACCACCAAGGAGCTGAGTCACTGAATGCAAGCACACAGTTTCTTTATTAAATTCAAACCTAGGCAGAGACCTCATCCCACCAATTGATGCAGCAGCCGCAGGAGAAGGCCTCGAGTCTCATAAGTGAGGGGTTTATAAAGGCAAAGGTCACAGAATAGGGTTAGGGGTATGGGTTTGAAGTTGATGGGCTGCAGAGTCCAGGGGGATTGGGGGCTTTCCAGGAGTTTATCTCTTGTACCCATACAAGTTGTTTCTCAACTTTTCAGGTTGGTTGTCCTGGGGTCAGGGCCATTTGTCTCCCCTTCCTGCCTTTTCTGGGGGGATGGTAAACCATCTGCACAGGTCATGGGGTCAGGTTCTCACACCGTGCTGCTTTTGGCCCTTTTTCCCTAGGATGGCCTTGGTTTGGCCTTTCAGATTATACACTGTATGCTCAAATGAGAATAATTAGCATAAGCCTTAGTCATTTCTTTGTGTTGGGAGTATTGAAAATGCTTTCTTCAGCTGAATGTAATCAGCGCCTGAGGAGCAAAGGCAGGAGTTGAAGGTCATCTTCTGTTACACAGCAAGTTCATGGACAGCGTGAACTGTGTGAGACCCTGTCCCAACAATGAAAGGGGAGGAAGGGCTGAGAGATGGCTGGGGAGGTAAAAGTACCTCTCTGTGTAAGCCTGGGGACCTGAATTCAGATGACAGTACCATGTAAGAACCTGGGTGTGGCTTTAGAGGAGTGTGAAAACCCAGGGCTGGGGAGGTAAAAGTACCTCTGTGGAAGCCTGGGGACCTGAATTCAGATGACAGCACCATGTAAGAACCTGGGTGTGGCTTTAGAGGAGTGTGAAAACCCAGGGCTGGGGAGGTAAAAGTACCTCTGTGGAAGCCTGGGGACCTGAATTCAGATGACAGCACCATGTAAGAACCTGGGTGTGGCTTTAGAGGAGTGTGTAAACCCAGGGCTGGGGAGGTGGGGCACAGAGGCAAGAGGATTGCTGGGGTTTGCTGTCCATCCACCGACCAGATTCAAAGGAACAAGGCAGAGAGTAGTAAAGCAGGAATCCAAGAATCCTCTGCCACCCACATAATACACACTCACACATGCGGATACACCACACATACATGTGCAAGCAAAACAACGAAAACTCCTTGCTGATTTACAAGTAAACTAGTATGAGTTGATTATAGCTAACCTTTTGTGCTGTAGAAGGTTAAAAGAGAATTCTCTTGCTTAACTTTATTCTTGTGTCTGCTAGCTAACCTCCCTCCACGCCCAACTCTGCTTCACAGCGTCTGGTAGCCACCGAAGTACCCTGCTTCATTAAAATCGACCTTCTCAGCTTCCACATATATGTGAGAATACCTGGCGTTTGCCCTCACTAGACTTCTTTTAAACGGTTTTTTTTCCAAGACTGGGGAGGAGGCTTAGCAGTGAAGATCCCTTGCTGCTGTTGTAGAGAACCCAGGTTTGGTTCCCAGAACTCACATGGAGGCTTAAAACCATCTGTAACTCCAGTTCCAGGGAATCTTCTCACAACCTCCCACAGCAGACATGAGCGTGGTACACAGAACACTCATACACAGAAAATAAATAAATCTTAAAAAAAGATGTTATGCAACATGATTAATAATTTTCTATGATTAACTTTAAAATATTGTCATTGAGGTATGTACGCTGTTTAGGAATGTCTTAAGTGTATTGATTCAGATCAAGAAAGTAGTAGCTTAGAATCTTGAGCCATCCTGCCCATGAGTACAGCATACCTCTCCATTCATTTCTTTTTATGTACCTGTGTAAGCTTAACAAAGCAAAGTTTATAGGTAAAATCTTCAATTGTATTTATGTAAATGCCTCATACTTCTTATTTATTTGTAGGTATTTTATTTTTCATTGCGGCAGGAGTCTCTCTCACGGCTTCCTTTCCCTCCCTCAGTCCCACCTCTAGAGACTGCACATTCTGTAGGAAGGCCCCACAGGAAGGAGGAAGGCAATGGCTGTTGGGCCTCTGCCATTGGGAGCTCAGGTGAGACCTCATTGTCAGATGTCTTTTACTCCCATAGTGTGAGTGGACTGCATTACAAAGGACAGATGTATTGGAGTAGTAGGGCATTGGGTCCCTTCAGTGTCCTTCACCTCTGCTTTCAGCTGACACGGGAGTTCTTGATGGTACTCAAAGGCTGGAGAGGAAGCCAAAGTCACAGGAGAGATGAGTTGGTGTTTATAGGGCGTATGGACTACCAGGAGTCAGAAAAGCTAGGAAAGGGAAAGGCAGGGGTGTGGTGAGGAGGGAGTATCTGCCCATCTCAAGGTCTGGGGAAGGAAGGATGCCTTAGAGGATTCACTGTATGGAGGTGCAAGTTTCAGTCACATCACTCCCCCATGGCGCTGATGGAAGCCACTGCCTTTACTTAAGTGTCTGCCATGCACGTGGCATGGTTAAGTCTCATGGCACTAGCTTCTGTGTAGCTATGGTGAAGACTGCATACTGGATGGTGTCGCAGTGTCAGGAATGCAGGCGAGAAGGTGAGAACATGTAGGAAGGGCCAGCAGCAGCTTCCCACTAGGCCGAGGTCATTAAAGGCCTCACCACCTGTGTGTGTGTGTGTGTGTATGTGTGTGTGTGTAGATGTACATGCCAGTGCTTATGTTTGCAAAGGCCAGAAGAGGACACAGGTGTCTTCCTCGGTTACTTCATGATATTTTTATATTCAAACAAGGTCTCTCACTGAAACAGAAGCTAGTTGGCCAGAAAACTACCATCCTCTACCATCTGTAGCTGTCAGTGTTAGGGTTACGGGCAGACTGCATTCAGTGTGAGTCCTCGGGTCTGAACTCGGGTCTGCTTGTTCGCATCACTTACTCTTAGCTGCTCCATCCACCCAGCTCTCCCACAACCTCTTAAACATTGCCACTGGGGGACCAGGCTTCTAACACTTGAGCCTTTGGGCTCATTTAAACTAACTTAGAGCCAAACCATAGCACATTTATGTACCTTCTTTTCCTGTCCTTATTTCCTGAGTTGGTCAGTGTTAATTGTCACCTTGACAGAATCTAGAATCACCTGGGAGATGGGCTTTGGGGCATGCCATCTTGATTGGGTTAAAGTGAGAAGACCTTCCCATGGTGGGCGGCACCATCCCCTGGCTGGGACCCTGGGTGGTGTGCATGGAGAAAGGGAGCAGAGCAGCAGCACTCATCCTCTCTACTTCCTGATTGTAGGTGTCATGTGACCAGCTGAGCTCTGCCATGCACTTATGCCCCTCTACTTCCTGATTATAGGTGTCATGTGACCAGCTGAGCTCTGCCATATATTCATCTCTCTCTGCTTCCTGACTGTGGGTGTCATGTGACCGGTTGAGCTCTGCCATGCACTCACCCCTCTCTGCTTCCCAATGTGGATGTCATGTGACCAGCTGCTTCTTACTCCTGCCATCTTGATTTTTGCAGCATAAAGTTCTGCACCCTTGAACTGTAAGCCAAAGTAAGCTCTCCTTTAAGTTGCTTTTGTCAGAATATTTTATGAAACAGGAAACTACAACAATTCCCTGTTCTTTTTTTCTCTGGCTCATAATGTCTGTGGTTTGCTGCACATGTTTTGTTTTTGTCAGAATGTAGTATGTTTTCCTCACACAAACCTATACCATGTTGCTCCTGGCACTGCATGGTCTTTTTTCAAGGCAAAATTCCCTGTTAAGGAGGAATTTGTGGTTTCAGGAGTCAGTGGCATTCAAGGATGTGTCTGTGAACTTCACTTGGGAGGAGTGGATGCAGCTCGATTCTGTGCAGAGGAACCCGTGTGGCAGGGTGACGCTGGATAACTACAGGAACCTGGTCTCCCTGGGTGAGAACCCCTCCTCCCCCCAACTTGCAACTCAAGACCTGATTCTTAACACCTTCCCCCTTCAGCCATCTGCCATATGGACTTCATGGGTTTGACTTGAAATCCCAGCTCTCATGGGGCATTGTTTAGGATCTTCCCTTACTGTCCCATATTTCTAGGTGAAGTCTATAGAGAATGGAAAAGATGGTAATGGAAATCTGACCTGTGCTGGGATTGGGTGTTGACTAATTTCAGGACCCAAACTCGGTCTCTTTCCTCCTAAGCAGGACATCAACCTTCCAAGTCAAATGTGATCTCTGAACTGGAACAAGGACTGAGCCTGAGAAAAAAAGAACTCCCAGGTTGCATCTCTCTGGGTAAGTGTTTGATGCAAGGACTTGTAATGTAACATGGGTGTCTTAGTAAGAGGAAGTGTGAAAGGCAATCTTGGGTCTCTGGAGATACCAGCTCCCACAGATGTGTCCTTTATGAGGACAGTGCCCCTGTGCTGATGAGACTTGTCCTTCCTTGTTAGCCTTATGTCCTGGTCTTGGGGGAGGGGATGATGCATCGTGAGGCTTGAGTCACTACACTGTAGCATTTGTGCATTGTGCGGCAGCCACTGAGCATTTGGGAATGTCCACAATGACAGTTTCCTCTCCGCCACCTTCAGCTGCCTTTGTTCACAGGCCTAACCTGTATTCCTAGCTTCCTTCCCCTTGTTCATGTAAACATTTGGGAGCTTTCTTTTCTTCCTGCCTTGATAGGCATTTTGAGTAGTCTGCATATTTTAAAAAGTGAGAAATGGTGGTAGTTTTTCTTGCATTTCTAGCAGCTCTACATTTTATATATTCCATTGATCACTCCAGAATGCCCTGTCTGTGTCCACCTTTCATTCATCCCTGCCATGCAGCTCTTAATGCTTAGTGCCTTGGTCAGTCCCTGTCACAGCTGGAAGTTCTCTTTGAGATGATATCACTGACTTTTCTGCGCAGAAAACACCTTTACATCTTGCTTTTCCCATATTTCTTGCCCCATTGCTTCAAAATGTATTTTTTAAGCTAAAGAATAAGCAAGGGACTTAGAAATGGCTCAGTTGGTAATGTGCTCTGTGTAAGTCTGAGAACCTGAGTTCAACCCCCAGGGCCCACGTAGAAGCCAGGCTATCGATTGCAGGGTGCACACACTACAATCCAGCACTAGGCAGCAGAGACGGGAAGATCCCTGGGGCTGGATGGCCACAGTGTAGCCAAATTGGTGAACTTCATCATTCCATGAGAGACTGAACATCAGAATGGCTAAAATCAAAAACACCAATGACAGCTTATGCTGAAGAGGATGTTGAGAAAGGGGAACACTCTTCCATTGCTGATGGGAGTGAAAATCAGTATGGCAATTTCTCAGAAAATTAGGAATCTGCCTACCTCAAGACCCTGCAATGCCATTGTTGGGCATATACCTGAAGGAGGCACATTCACACCACAAGGACATTTGCTCAACTATGTTCATAACAGCATTATTTGTAATAGCCAGATCTTGGAAACAGCCTAGATGCCCCTCAATTGAAAAATGGCTAAAGAAAATGTGGTACATTTATACAATGGAGTACTACTCAGCAGTAAGAAATAATGACGTTGTTCAGGGCTAGCATGTCACACCAGGGAACTAAAAAGTGGCCTAGCAAAGCCAGCATGTATGTACAACACAGAGAAACAGAATAAAGGTCCTGCCTCAACTAGATGATGGGACAGACTTAGTAGACTTCCTAGGTAAGGCCTTATCCTCTCTGAGGAGCAGATGGGAGGAGTGGGGAGTGGAAGGGGTGGGAGGGAAGGAGGGAGGGGGGACTGGGATTGGAACGCAACAGATAGGCAGATAGATAGATAGATAGATAGATAGATAGATAGACAGATAAATAAATAAATAAAGGAAAGAAGGTGGAGAGTAATGGAGAACTTGACATCAGCCCTGTCTCAAAAACAAAAGAATGTATTGCACTAATAATAATGTCTTGACAGTGTTAGTATCATGTAATTTATTGGAACATGTCCTAGGAGTAGATGCTGGGGTGCTCAGGGCTAGCATGTCACACCAGGGAGCTAGAAAGTGGTCTAGCAAAGCCAGCATGTATGTACAACATAGAGAAACAGGATAAGTGGGGCCCGAGTATCCGCAGCCAGAGAATCTGAGTAAGGGTCAGATGTGTTCATTATTCTCTCATTTCTGTGGATTCAGACTTTCAAAACTAAAAAAAGCACTAAGGAAGCTGAGGAGAGACTGGCTGTTGTCTGACTTCCACATATGTCCCATCCTCTCTCTGGGGACCCCCTGCTGTCTGTGCAGTTTGTCAGGGAAGTAGGAAAACAGTTACTCTGAGTCTAGGCATGCATTTTCTGAAGGAAAAAGAGTGTTTATAATTTTCATAGACATAGATAAAAGGAGGTTATCAGCAGGCACATTCAGTGAGTGCCTTGGTAGGAGCTGCTCATAAGCGAGCTAAGGCAAAGCAGGAAAGCGCTGGCTACTGGGCTGTGGTGCTGTTGCTCTGTGTTCGTGAGGGTGTTGGTCAAGGTGAGGCCAATTCTGAAATACATCCCCGAAGTTTAACTAGCAGTAGTGAGGCATGAGGCCACACACAAAAGTCAGGACTAGTGGCTTGTCTTCTGAAGATTCTCCTCCAGACCTCCAGTAAGCCTGCCTCTGTTTGTATCTCCATGCAGAAGCAGCCCATCTGGTATTTGCATGAAGAAATTCACAAAACTTTCCTTGTGAATGTTTAATTTTACAACATGAATAAAATGGTCCAACCACCACAGCTGGCTTTCAGCGAGCTTGCTAGAGAATAGGATTCTAAAGAGGGCTTGCTGGGTTGAAGGATATATGCTACTTCTTGTACAGCTCCCAGTCCTGCTTTATGCTTGTGATTTGTAATGTTCATTTGTCTGGTATAACACAGTACCTGAAAGGAGCTTAATTGCTTTCATTGTAGATTTCTGTGGTGTTGATTACTATTGCTGTTTGTGTTTATTGTGTTGTAAGTAGTTTATTCATTCCACAAATACTCATTAAGTACTAGGCTGTCTTTCTGGCCCTGGAATATAGCAAGAAAGCAACGTGGGCAGAATTTGCTTGAGGCGCTTATGTTCTTTCTGGTTAGGGAGCTTATACATTGATAGAGAAGGGAGAGGTCGGGGGAGAAGGGAAAGAGGAGTGGGGAGTAGCACAGTCAGTGACTGGGTGAAAGAGACAGCAGCCTAAGGAGCCAGCTTGGTTCTGCTCTGTAGGGGCCGTGACTTTGAACAGAAGCTCAAATAAAGCCATAGGTCCAGGATAGTATTCTGAGCATAGGGACAGCCTGTGCCTAGGCGCTGATGTGTAGATTGCCTTTCTGAAGGAGAGAGTGCCTCGGGTGCAGAGCCGTGCAACGCAGGGAAGAGTCTGCTCAGTGCTGAGTGGGTGTGCTGTGTATGTGTGGAAGAAGGAAGTACAGCCTGGCGTTTCGTCAAGGTTAGATGGAAGGGAAGGAAGAGGAGAAGAGACCCCTGCTGTGTTCTCCACTGGAGTGGATCTCTTATCCTCTAGAGGAGAAACTGGGCTTTCCTAGGAAAGTGGAGAGCGTTGGAAAGCCCTGGGAACACAATGCTGTGCAGTGCGGAGCATGCTCATTCCAGATCTCCTTGCATATCACTGTCAGGTTAGCAGGTAAGTGGTGTCATGTTACTAGGTAAATGTCCGACTGCACAGAGGCGTGTTTTGGTTTTGGAAGATGTATAATGATGGCCGAGTTCAGTTCTCAAGTCTCACGAGTCTTTCCTCACCTTTGCAGGACTGGTGCATTCTCTTCTGGCATCCTGTGTTCCTGCAAGGATCTCCTAGGCCAGTTGTTAAGGTTTGTAGGTAATCTTTTTGTTTGTCTTTTTCTTAAGAATTAAGTCCTAAGAATTTGCATTAAGTTAAGCATCTAAATTAATAAATAATATATTGAACCTTGTTAAGTTCTGTATAGTGCTAAGATAATTTGAGTTTAAAACTGTTAACATTTTGCAGAATAGCAAATGCTTTATTCTTTTTCTAGATTTTTTGGAATATATATAAACAGAAGGATTTATAAATTATATATACTATTTGACACAGTGCATATTCTGTTAAACCTTTAATAAATTAATAGTTAACCATTTTTTCTTATATAAATAATACAAATACCATCTAACAGATGAGGAGACTGGAACACAGAAAGATTAAGAAACTTGCACAAAGTCACACAGCTAAGAGTGTTTGAAATCAAATTTGAGCTAGATAGATAATCTGGCTCCACAGTTAGCCTAACCACTGTGCCATCCTGATTTTCTGTGTAGTTAGTGGTGATGAAAATTAGTGAAGAATAAAGAGAACGGAGACCTGGGTCCAGAACCTAGGTCAAGAACCAGCATCCCACTCACCCTCCTACCTCTACCCAGGACTGACCACTGTTCTGATGTGTGATGACTTCTGTTTTAGTCACAGTTCTCTAAACAGATGGGGATTTATTAGACTGGTTTACAGGCTGTGGTCCAATTAGTCCAGCAGTGGTTGTCTCTTAAAGGAAATCCAAGAATCCAGTAAGTATTCAATCCATGAGTCTAGATGTCTCAGCTGCTCTTCAGTCTATATTGGAATGCTAAAGAAGTGGCCTCTAATACCAGTGAAGAATGCCTCAGGACAGGGATAATGAACTATTAGTGAGAGTGAGGGCAAGCAGGCAAAAGCAAAAGCTTCCTTCTCTCGCGCCCTTTTATGTGGACTGCCACTAAGTGTGACCTGTATTTATGGTGAGTCTTCCTATTTCAACTGACCCAGATTTAGGGTGAAGGATCCAATCAAGTGAATCCCCATAGACATACCGAGCTGTTTGGGTCTTAGTTATTACAGATGTAGTCAAGTTGACAACCAAGATTTACCATCACAAGTATGCCATCCTTTGTCAACTTGACGCATAATCACATCTCCAAATGAAAACAATAAGAAGGTCATAATTCCACCTAATATGATATAACTACCCTATGTACAATTGTAAATGTATATAGGTGGCAATAACCCTTGAGGAATGGTTAGTCTTTTAGTGTCTTATAACTTAAATGCAGTAACTGTTAATTATCTCAGTTGATATTATATGATAAAGAAACAGGAACACAAACATCACTTAATGTAAATATATATATGCACAAACTCATTCCTTTGTTTTTGTGTTTTTACATCCCTACACAAACTCATTCTTAACATAATAGGACAGAAACATTCATATCAGTTGCAATTTATTTTTCTTTTGCATTGGCTTTAGATGGTATTTATTTATAACTACCTTCCTCTACTACCCATTCTGTATTTCTTCTGTCCCCAGCAAGTACCTCAGAAGGTCTTGGTTATTTTCCTGGAGGAGTGATCCCTACTTTCCTGAGGTCTAGACCCTTTGTCATCCTGCCTGAAATATGCTGTTTTAGTTTCACATTGACTTTAACCACAGACCATGGTAGCACCAAGAGACACCCTAAAGGATCTCCTATACTCCAGACACACTCTTCCTTATCTCCATTGTGGAGAAACAATCCAGTTTCTCCCTGATAATCTGGGATTGAGGGGACCAGAAACTCAAAGTGGCCAGGGAGAAATCTGAGCTTCCAGTTCAATGGAATGTTTATTGTATCTCCTAGCAGGAGTGCTACTCCATCTGGATCCAAAAATTCTAGGCCAGCAGAATTTAAGGGCATGGGAACAGGAAGTAAAAATTTTTCGAATGGGTCACTGGGGTGGATAGAGAGGGAACTATTCCCATTTCCATCCCCTTCATTCCTGGACCCGTGGATCCTGGCTGTGGGAGAAACTATACCATATGTTGGACGATGGATTCAAAGCATATAATCTTCTGGAAAACCCTGTCCTAGCCATCCAGGCTGCTGCCACCTAATTGGCACTATAACTGTACCTTCAAAAGGCTGTCCCGCCAGTCTATCAGGCCAGCTGCTTCAGGATGATGGAAAACATGATTAAGACCAGTGGAGTCCATGAGGGTAGGCCCACTGTTGCGCTTCTCTGGCTGTGAAGTGAGTTTCTTGGTTATAAGCAATGCTATATGGATGCATGATGGTGAAGAAAGCATTCTGTGAGTCTACAGATGATAACTTGGCACAGGCATTCCATGCAGGAAAGGCAAATGCATAATCAGAATAAGTTATCTACTCCAGTAAGTGTCGGGTGTTCTGTGTTACATGGGACAGTCAAAGAAGGAGAGTCACTCCAGAATGTAATTTTAGGCTCTCTGGCAGTGGGGAAGAACAGTTTCTGTGAACTGAACCTCGAACCTCCAATGAGAAGCATATTTATTGATTGTATGCAAAGGTTGTATTTGAGGTACAACAAGTTCCTCATAACAAAACCCCTTTTATCTATTCTATCTGTTCTCTGAAGGAAATCATCACAGCCTGCAACCTTTAGTCCTTTTTGTTTAGTGTTTACAGTACCCAAGAATTCAAGACACTCCAAGTGTGCCTAGATAGTCTTGTGACCAAAGTCTTACAACAGATGAAAACCTTCCTCAGAAAAATAACTCTGTAAGTCATAGAAAACAGAAGGGAGGGAGAGGAAACTGGGATTGGTACATAATAAAAATAAATATAAAACAGAAAAAAGCATAGAAAACAATCACTGTTCTCTACTCTGATTTCTTCAAGGTCTAGGTACCTTCAACAAATGCTAACACATTCTACTGTTACTCTAGAGATGAACAACTATTACATTCTAATGCTTGCCATAGATACAATGACTCTACAAGTAAGGACAAAGTGGACATGCCTTTTCATGAGGAAAGTGAGCCAGTGTGAAGTTGACAACCAAGATTAGCTATCACCATTCCCTTTCCCGGCTCATCTTTACAGCGTTGCCATCTATCTGTGCTAATGGATTCTCCCATGAAGCTTTTGTCGGATTCTGAGTAACAATTCATCTATTCTCAAAGAAGGTTAACTGGATAACTGGATGTGGCCAGAGTGATCTGGGCAAGAGAGGGCTGCCAGCTCATATATTGTTTGCTGAGACCACTAGATAGACATTCTCTCCAGAATTACTCAGGGACATGTATTTTCGTGCTAATTCCTGCTTGACTTCCCATTTTTCTTTTCATTAAAGCAGGTCAGCTTGGAAGGGAGAAGCTCTGTTACTTTATTTCTTGCTTCAAAGCCTTTGATTTACTGTGTGCTGTGTTGGTCTCTGCTCTATCGACTGATCAGCAGTCCTAAGAGCTGAGTCTGAGCCTACAGGTCCCTGTCCTCTCTCCTCACTGCCTCCAGGCCAATTTGTTTGGGATAAATAGTGGGGTCTTATGAACCTCAGAGGCTCCTCATTCTTCCCTCTGTGCAGTTACCTCTAGCAGCTCAACAGATTCTCTTACCAAGTTCTCAACTTCACAGAAAGAAAACTTAGGAGAGAGTAGGGAGGTTTAGCCTGTTACATCTGTGAGTAGAACACTGTTTAAAGTTTGAGGAGAAAAGCCCTTAAGACTGCATCGTCCTCCTCAGAGTGGTGAGCTTCAGATGTGTCCTTTTATTTATGTTGTAGACAGGTGGTATTCTACAGGGTAATTTACATTTAGTTAGCATCTTACTCCTTGTCAGATTACTTTATCCTCTTTTTTACCTGAAAACTCAAATCCAAAGAAACAAGCCAGTCATTAAGGTATTGTTAAAATCCACAATTTGAACTCATATGTGTAACTCAAGGGACAACAATCTTCTCATACTTCATTAAATTAATTTGGTGTGGAGTTCTAAGCAAGCTTATGAGAGGAAAGAAACTATTGGAAGGAATGCCAGATGGGCGGGCATCTTGGTTTCTTTTCTGGCTGCTCTAACAAAGCAACATGGGGTGGGGGGGGGGAGACGTTGTTTCAGCTCACAGTTCTCAGTTACAGTCCACCATGACAGAGAAGAGACAGTGGCAGAAAACTAAGACAGCTAGTCACATTGCATGCATGGTGACGAAGCAGAGAGTAATGAATGCTGGTACTCAGCTTGCTATTTCCTTCTTATAAAGAATTCCCATCCAGGCAGTGATCCCATCCAATCAGTGTGGGTCTTCCCACATCAATTAATGAAATCAAGATAATCCCCCATGGGTGTGTCTTTAGCCAGCCCAACCTAACGATCCTTCATTGAGGCTTCCTTCCCAGATGAATCTAGAGTCTGTCAAGGTAACAATATCAACCCTAGCAATTCCCCCTCTTGTCGATTTGATAACAATTTGAATCAATTTTAAGCCATAACCATCTACCCCTTGACCCCACAGGCTCATTACTATATTATAAAATGTATTTAATCCAACTTTAAAAGTTCCCATTGTATTTAACAATTCCAATACCTTAAAAGTCCAGTCTCTTTCATTGTGAGTACTAATTAAAAAAAAAGGTATATACTTCCAACATATAAGGGCACAGAGTAAACAGGGCATAAAATAATCATACCAAAGAAAGCCATGTCTGATTCTGAAGCTCTTAATGTAATGTTCTGGGCTCTGTGTGGCTTAGGTATCTACCCCTCCTGCTTTGCTGCCTGTGGCGCGCGCGCACACACATACACACACACTCACACACACACACACACACACTCTTCCTCCCTCCCTCTCTCCCCCCACCACAAGGCCAACTTTACTTCATCTTCCACCTCACCTTGGCAGATATTCCATAGACCTGGCATCTCCAGTATTCTGTGTACATCCACCGTGACTGAGAGTTCATTTTCACAGTTTCACACAATAGTCTATTGAAGTCCCTGCAGACTTCCTGGCCTCCGCTAAAATCTGTAGCCCCTCACCCCCATCTTGTATCTTTCGTGACTTCAACACCCGTGTATGGAATATGCTGCCAAGCTCTGCCCCAGCTCAAAGGAGCATGATCTGTACCAGCTGCTGTACTAGTCCTGGAGAAACATTTGCTAGGAAGTTGTTTTTGAGGAACAAGAGCCACTTCAAACCAGATTTTGTTCTTTTAAATGACTTTGAGTATTCATGTGAAGGAACCTCTTTGGGTGCTTTTTGCTACTCCTATAATCCCAGGATCCTCTGCCCAAGAGAAGGCCCAGAAGAGCCTTCTCACATCAATTAATGCAATTAAAGTAATCCTCCACAGTTCAACTCAATCTAGATAATCCTTCATTGAGATTCTCTTCCCAGGTGACTCTGGTTTCTGTCAGGCTGAAAATGAACACAAATCATCATAGCGTATCATCTGATCTGTTTTCCCTAGCCAGTCTTTTCCGTGTATTTTCTCTTAGTTCTACATTCATTTTTGATCCATCCATCTCTCTTGGATGAGTTAACCCCTTCTCTCTTATTTATCCAGTGGACCTGCCATCATCTTAGTTCTTCTGTTTTCTGTGGACTGGCACACTGTTCTTCACGTTTTGATTTCTCTAAAGAATTGTGGAAATACTTTCAAAATGTCTTAACTGCTCTTAACAGTTATTCTACCTTTATTTTCTTATCCTCCTTTATGTAGTTTCTAGTCACTCAGCACAGAAATCAGTATGCATTTGAATTATTTACTGTTTTTCAGGGTGGGAGACAAGACTTGAAATCAAAGAGTTAACTCCAGAGTCCATTATTGAAAATTTGCCCCATGGGGTCATAATGGAAAGGGAAGATCTCTGGCATTCAGCTTTAGGGGCTGTCTGGGATCACTCTTGTTGGTTAGAGCGGCAAGAGGAAAAATATCTGGGCCAAGTGGCAGTGGCTCAAAAGGAAACCTTTAATGAAAAGAGGGTATGTGGAGGTAATAAAACTGAGAAATGTTCCGCTGAAGGTTCACTGCTTGATACGCAAAGCATTCCTTTGACAAAAAGACCCTATAATTGGAATTCATGTGGAAAAGATTCAAAACAAAATTCCGAGTTAATGAAAACTTCAAGAATGTTTGTAGGAAAGAAAATATATGAATGTGATGAGTGCAGGAAAACCTTCAGCCAGAGTTCATCCCTGCTCAAACACCAGAGAATTCACACTGGGGAGAAACCTTATAAATGCAATGTGTGTGACAAGCACTTCATCGAACGCTCCTCTCTCACCGTACATCAAAGGACTCACACGGGAGAAAAACCCTACAAATGTAATGAGTGTGGGAAAGCCTTCAGTCAGAGTATGAACCTTACTGTTCATCAAAGAACTCATACTGGAGAGAAACCTTATCAGTGCAAAGAGTGTGGAAAAGCCTTTCGTAAGAATTCATCCCTGATTCAACATGAAAGGATTCACACTGGAGAGAAGCCCTACAAATGTAACGACTGTGGGAAAGCTTTTACACAAAGCATGAATCTCACAGTGCACCAGAGAACTCACACCGGAGAAAAACCCTATGAGTGTAAGGAATGTGGGAAAGCCTTCAGTCAAAGCATGCATCTTATTGTTCATCAGAGAAGTCACACCGGAGAGAAACCCTACGAGTGCAGTGAATGTGGGAAAGCCTTCAGTAAAAGCTCAACTCTCACTCTCCATCAGCGAAACCACACTGGAGAGAAACCCTACAAATGTAACAAATGTGGTAAATCATTTAGTCAAAGCACATATCTTATAGAACACCAGAGACTTCACTCTGGAGTGAAGCCTTTTGAATGTAACCAGTGTGGAAAAGCTTTTAGTAAGAATTCTTCTCTTACCCAGCATCGGAGAATCCACACTGGTGAAAAACCTTATGAGTGTATGGTATGCGGAAAGCATTTCACTGGGAGATCATCTCTAACTGTACATCAGGTTATACACACTGGAGAGAAACCTTATGAATGCACTGAATGTGGAAAGGCCTTCAGCCAAAGCGCCTACCTTATTGAACATCAAAGAATTCATACTGGTGAAAAGCCCTATGAATGTGACCAGTGTGGAAAAGCCTTCATTAAGAATTCATCCCTTCTAGTGCACCAGCGGATACATACAGGAGAGAAACCCTATCAGTGTAACGAATGTGGGAAAGCCTTCAGTAGGAGTACAAACCTTACAAGACATCAGAGGACTCATACATGAGAGAACTTTTCACTGGCACCTTCATCTTGATTAATTCTTTAATAATAATCAGATGTCATACTAATGTAGATATTTAATAGCCATAACTAATGTGGGGACCTTGTAGTTGAAGTACAGCATCATACCAGATAGTAAAACCATAGCAGAGTAACTATATGAAAGTGGAGAACACTTTGGTTCAGATGGTAAAATTTTATATCAGGTTTAAGTAGCTAATACATAAATGATGACTTATGGGGAAGATAAGCTCTATTGTGTCATGCTGTGAATTCTGATTTGGGTATCACAGAGTTTTCACAATGCATGAAAAAAAGTGATAGTGCCCCAAAATCTGGTATGTAGTTCTAACATCCCCACCCCCACCCCCAGTGTTAACTTGAACAAGTCACCCACTTTCCTCGGGTCACACTGTCATGTGGTAAATGAGAGATTTGGGATTTAGAAGACCTGTGGAATCTGTTTTAGATAAAATGTTCAAAACAAGACGCAGGGAATTTTTTGGTCTTTTGCTGTTGTTATCTGTGCTGTGAAAATGCTTTTATTTCATATTGTGGTTTTCTTGAATGTTTTAGGTTAAAATCCTCTACCTCTTAATTCTTATTGTCTTTCAGGTCCTCCCTTTTCCCTGAGTTACTTTATCTCCTAAAATATAGGCTAGTTGCTACTGGGTGGCGATAAATTGTGCATATTTTAATGCCATAGCATGTTGTTTTGAATTCTCAACTAATAGTCATTAAACTGTTGTTAAATAAGCTGATTATAAGTGACAATGTGACTTAAATACAGTCTTTAAATACTTAACCTTTGTGTCTTACTTGACTGCCATGGAAATTTAAAGACATGTGGGTTGAATACTAATTGTGCTGAATTGTTTTATGTCAACTTAACAGAAGCTTAAGTCATCTAAGAGGAGGGAACCTCAATTCATGCCTCCATAAAACTAGGCTGTAGGCAAGCTTATAGGTAATTAATGCCTGTTGGGGTATTGCTATTGTTAGCCATTGTGGGTGGTGCCATTCCTGGGCTGATGGTCCTGGGTTCTATAAGAAAGCAGACTGGGCAAGCCAGCAACAACACTCCTCCATGGTCTCTGCATCACCTTCTGCCTCCAGATTCCTGCCTTGTTTGAGTTCCTGTGCTGACCTCTTCAATAATGAACAGTGATCTGGAGGTGTACGCCAAATAAACGCTTTCCTCTTGTTTGGTCAGGGTTTCATCATGGCAGTAGAAATCCTAACTAAGAAACTATTAGACATAGGAATTCAGCTAATTAACAAAACCTTTGCAACTCAAAACATACTCAGAAACACCACAGGAATGGCGTATAGATCATGATAGTAGTAGATTTATTAAACATGTTGACTGCAGACTTCTGGGTGGCAGAGAAACAGTCAGTCCAGGAAGAGACAAGAATGAAACTCCATTCATACCTACTTTGAAACCAATGCTGAGCCAAAACCTCCAGAGTCTGACACCAGTTCATTTATTTTAGCCATATCGAAGCACAGCATGATTTTTGGAAAAAAGGGTTTTCTGATAACAACTCAGTCCTGTGAGTACAACAAAGTTCAAGACATGTTTACATAGGAAGTTCTTAACAAAGTACATATTTCTTCCTTAAAGATGGGTCCTGTTGACTTAGAAACAATGCTCAAGATAAGGGTCTGTGGAGAATGACTAAGGTAAACAGAGCCTGTGGGAGTCATGACTTGACCTGGCCCTAAGATAACACAGACGCCACTTAGATTGTTGTAAAGTACAAATGATGCCATTCATGTGTTTTATGGCCTAGAAACAATGCTCAAGTTTTAGGGGCAGGGGAAGTCTGGGATAAACAAACATCATATTCTGGAATATGTGTAGAGCCTGGCTCAACAGATTACTACATCCCTCCCTCCCCTGCATTCCAGGAGAATGGTCAAATATCTTCTCCCTTTGGAGAGATGAGTTGTGTGTTTAACTTTTCCTGGCTTCAGTGCTTATCTGTATGCACAAGGACCTTTTGCCCCGTAGAAGATAGAATCAGAAAACCAAAATTAATGTTAACATTTCCGTTAATTCTCCAGAGGCTAAGAATGTGGCAGGATGATGAGAGAATAAAGAATCAAAACCATAATGAGACAAAACCAGAGACACTGGTAAGGTATCCACTCCCTAATGCCTTTCACTAGCCCCGGCAGAAATAAATCAGATAAATGGAAGTTTCACCACTTTTGTTGGAAGTTGTGTCTCTTCCAAGCCAGCCTCAGCAGGCAGTCTTTGCACCTTTCTTCGTCAGCAGGAGGGACATTCCTGGTTCCACCTACTTCACTTGCTGGGGCCTTGCTCAAGGCATTTCATACATTAGTGCCTGCTTCCTCATTTGTTAGTGGTGCAAACCTAAGTGCGTTGAGTTGTGAGATAATAAAGTGCTTAGGAAAGTGCCTAACACAATTAGTGCTAAGGGTCATCCAGAACCCACAGTCATCTAGGAGAACCACTAGGCTCTCACACAAATGTCTTAGAGGAAGGTGAAAGGGAAAGTATTGGCTCAGGACCCCCAAGACCAAGTTCTCAGCACTTGGGACAGGGCAGGGAATAAGAGACAAAGGCAGGAGATAGAGGATGAGGAGGAAGGGGAAGGAGACAAGGGAAAAGGGACAGGAGTGTTTGTCCTGGAGGGACAAAGGAGTGAGTTCATCTAGATAAAGAGGAGACACACGTGGTCCATAGGCAAATAGTAGTTTATAAAGGTAAAATGGGAACCCCTGTGTTAGAACAAGGTGTTTAATCTTAATTGGGTTTATTAATTAAGTGAGCCAAAGGGGACTTCTGATTGCTGAGGCCAAATAAGGGAATAGACCTTGGTGGCTAGCTTTAGGAATGCAATCTAACAGTTTTTAACGAGGCAGTGGGAATTGGGGAGAAGGGCAAGGCCTGCCAGAGCCATGCTCACCATGCTCAAGCTGGCCAGAGTCCCTTCAGAAGGTATGTAATGGAGGGAGAAGATGCCACACACTGCATATTGCAGAAGCCTCCAGATCTAGTGTTCTTTCTCCCCCTCAACCACACCATGGGCTGGGCTTTTCATTTGGTTATTTTGCTGTTATTCTGGGTGAGTTTTGAGTATCTTTTCAATGCAAGAAATCAAGCTAGCAGATGCTATGTCCCTGTGCTACCACCATCCCTAGCCGTCACCCTGAACCTGTCCTCAGAACTGACCAGACTATGCAGATGCTCGTCTGTCCACTTCAGACTTACAGCTCTTTCCTATCACACACAAAATGAATCCTATGTTCCTACCACGGCTAGACTATGAAGACCTGAGAGTCGCACACACTCATCTTGAGCTGTTTCCTTTCCACTGGCAACGATGCTCATCTTGCTAAGCATTAAATACACCAAGCCAGCTGCTTTGTAGGCAGCTCTTCCCAGGAAAGTAAAATCTCCCAAATATCCCCACCCCTGTTCTGTCTGTAACTCATTTACACAGCTTTACTGTCTTGTCACTCCCTGATGAGCATTTTCTGTTTGATGGACCTCCATCTCTAGTCAAACCAACCCTCCAATGGCTCACTGTTTCTCCAGCTTCTGAACAGTGCCTGGCACCTGTGTGCTCCCTAAGTGAGAGAACGACACTTTTTAAGTACCGGATAGTCACTGACATTGCATCCTAAAGGTTGGCCAGCAGTCTCTTAAGTGCCAATTCCCAAGTCAGATTTTAAATTTAATTGTTTTACTAGTTTGCTAACTAGAAAGCTGCTCCATGAATCTACGAATTCAAAAGCAACTAGATGACTCTGGTATATCACCCCATCCTGCCGGCTCCACCCGGCGGTCCCAGAGAAGATCTGCAGGGTCTTCGCTCCTGTCCCTTCCACCTCTCATCCCCAAGTATCTGGATGACAGCCAGGCAGCCCCACTACCGCCACCTGTGCAGCACTGAGTGGCGACCGTGAGCCCCCTGCCTGGCCGCTGCACAAACGGACGCGCCCGTCGAGAGCGCAATCCTGACAGTCTTTCCAGCATGTTCCCTGCTGCTCGGCCCACCAACGCAGTTCCTGGAAGCTTGAGTCGCAGGTCTCCGGATCGAGTTCCCCAGAGATAACAACATCCTGGACCTTACTTGAATCTCTGCTTCCCTCTGGGTGGACCCGCAAGTCAGTGTCCCCGCGGAGGCTACTGGGAATTGTAGTTCAACCCACAAAACCACTCCGCGCAGGCGTACATCATCACTTTTGCCTTCCACTCTCCCCCTGGGAAAAGGAGTCCCGAAGCCCTAGAGTTGCAGCTCCGTGATTTGTGGGAATTACGGACCGCTCCCAAAGGAATGCGCAGGCGCGATTCGGCTTCAGGCTGCAGGCTCCAGCTCATTGTGTCCTGACTGTTATGTGGCTGCGATGGAGGCGCCTCGAAGGGCAGCCCCATGGTGACCAGCAGTGTCCAGAGCCAAGCGGGAAGGCGACGGTCAGGTCTGTCGGGGGAAAGGACGCCGAGCAAGGCTGGGTTGTGGTCCAATTTAGAGGACAAGGGTCCCTTGCCCTTAACTTCGCAGCATCTGAACTGAGATTTGACTCCACACAGAGAAAGGACCGGCAGAATGGTCTTGTGGTGGAGCTGAGATCCGAACATGATTGCATATGGAGAAGGGTGGGTCCCGACCTCTATCGTGTCTGGGGACAGACTCAGGAAGGAGGGTGCATCCAATTGATGAGTGTGTTCCCAGGTGGTGCTTCAAGTCCTGTCTGAGGAACTTGAGAACGGGACAATTGCAGTGGAGGGTGGCTTGTGTGAATGATTCTCCGCACCCCTCCAACCCCACACCCCCCACCCACACCACGCAAATACACTGCCTTTGACTCCGGGTCACCAAAAGGAGAATCCTGAGCTCACACGACAGTTTGCCCTGCTTCGGAGGTGAAGATCTGGCTTGCTTAGCTCCCCTCCCTTTTCAAGGAGAAAGAAGTCGGCTCTTCCCCCACCCCCACCCCCTTCCCTCTCCCCCGGATCAAGCTGTCCCAGGAGGAAGGAATGTCTTAAGACTCCCCAGCATGCCTCTAGGGGAAAGGACAGAGGATGGGTAGAGTTTGAGAAGCGTGGCTGGGGCAAGTCAAAGCGTTTAAGACGCAGAATGGGAAATATGGAGGGTCTGACCAAAGGAAAGATGCGAAGGGGAAATGGCATGGTGAGTAAGTCACCTTACAGATTAGGTGAGGGCCAATTAACCCATTGCTTTGGGGGCACTGAGGATGCCGGGATATGAATGTTCAGGCTCACGCTTTTGACCCTCTCATCACAGGCGAGCAGATGCCTCTGGCCTGAAGAATCCCACAGTTGCGAAGCTTCATGCCTGCCTCCTCAGTGCTTCGTGGTCCTCAGAGAGCTCACTGGAGAAGGGAATGGCTGTCAGCTACCTCCCAGCCCTGGTCCAGGTGAGTAGGGAAGGAGTGTTGTGAGTCACCCCCCTCCTCCCTGCCGGCCTTTGGGTTATTGACTTGAAGAGTCTAAGGTTGTTTACTGCCTCTTTGCAAACCAGGGTCACTTGGTAAAACCTGTTCAATTCCCTCACTTTTAGGCCTTTAACTTTGTAGGGCAGGAGTGTGCGGGAGGTGAGAAGTTGGGTGAACAACCAGCCGGTTCCAGCTTGCTGGCTGCTCATTCTCCTCTTGTTTTTTGTAAGCAAACGAGCTTTACTTAGAGGCTGAAAGTTCAAGTCTGGACAGCCATGGGTAGCAAGGGCTCTGTGCTGCACTAAATGCAGTAAATGGCACTACAAGACAGGAAAAAAGATGTGTGGGAAGTGTGTGGCGAGAGGAAACAGGGAAGAGTACCAGAGGTGTTATAAATTCCCTTTATAACGACGTGCTCCTTATAGCCACTGCAACCCAGAGAGACACGCCCTATCCCTCCCTTCAGAGAACGGAACTCAAGGAACTCACTCACTTCCCATATAAGCCACCTCTTACGGATTCTCCACTTCCCAACACATTTGCGCTGGACACCAGGCACACAGGCGTGGAGGGAATGAAGCATAACAGTTAAACACTGTTTGTGTTGTTTACTGGCTGCCATTGGGATATAAAATGTGCCAGGCCTATGAGCTATGTTAGAAACCTGAGATGAATAAACAGTTCTTGATAAATCAGTTCCTGGTTCACTTCAGCCAGTGTTTCTTGGCTCCTTGACATGTATTAAGCTCTCTTAAGCTAAAGCAGGCATTTTTTGTTTGTTTCTTTGTTTGCACTTGACCCGTCTTCCTCAGTGCACACTAGCCCCTGTGAAGACCACACCGTGAGAGGTGCTGCTTTCCATGCTAGATTTCAGGCTCCCGAGAGAGAGACTTTCTGTCCTTGTTCAGAAATTCCAAGGAAGAAACGAGCTATAACCAGAGAAGACATGGTGTCATACACAGAGTGATCATTTCCATGGTGTGTTTGTACACTCACACAGGTGTTGGGGTGGGTAGTGGAAGAAAAGGAAGACTCACTGAAGACAATGGTCTTGTGCTGCTGGGTGACATGGGTGCATGCTGAGAAGTGCATTGTGGAGCTCTTTCATCTTGTGTGAGCACAGAGGGTCTTTCTCCCAACCTAGATGGTGGGGGTCAGCCATTCAGTCTGGCCTCCTCGTGTCATCCAGAGTTGTGGAAAGCATGAGACATGGGGCTGCTGCTGGTGAAACACGCCATACCGTCCTACAGTAAAGGTTTCTTGAATGTATCGGAGTATACTCTAAAATAATGTTTTAAAGCAGTACAATAGGTGTGTCAGTGTTGTTTGCTCATTGTCAAGTGTTAGCCGCTGTACAATACTGTCTGCGTTATGCTTTTATATTACTTCTAGTGCAATATGTTTATCTAAACCATCATCACCACAAACTTGGAAGTACGTGTTATACTGACATGACACCATCTACACTAGGGCTGAGGAGAGAGACAGTCGATGTTGTGGGCAAAGTAAACAAGCTCACAGTCTCACTATTTCTCCACAATTGGTGTCAAAGTGGGGGACAAAGTATGTTTTCAGCACAAAGCTCAACCACTAGGAGATGCTGAAGAAACGCCTAGTTTCCTCAGACGCCAGCTTCCTGCAGGCTAATGGTCCCCATGAGCTGCTGGGACAGCCAGTATGGGCTTTCCTGTGGCATCTCCTGGTCAGTAAGAAAGGGCTCTCTGTTACAGGACTTGGTGACCTTCAAGGATGTGGCTGTGCTCTTCACCCAGGAGGAGTGGGGACGCCTGAGCTCTGCCCAGAGGGCCTTGTATAGGGATGTGATGCTAGAGAACTACAGCAACCTGGCCTCCCTGGGTAAGCGGGGCACCGCAGCATCACCTTTGTCCGTTCCTTAGGACCCCTGGAGTAGCCGGAGTTCCTTTCCAGCCTGGTTCCTCAGCTGATTAGCCCCAGATAAACACAAAGGCTTATTAATTATTAAACTGTTGGCTGATGGATAGGGCTTCTTACTGGCTTGTTCTCTTTAATTATTAACCCATGACTACTAATCTATATATTACTACATGGCCTTATCTTACCAGAGATCCCCTGGTGCATCCTATCTTCCCAGTCTCTATATGGCGTCTCTCTGAGGCCTCTCTCTGCCTTCCTCTCCCCAGCCTTCTCCTGGTCTGGTAGCCTCACCTATGCTTCTTGCCTGGCTATTGGCCAATCAGTGTTTTATTCTTCAATCAATAAAAGAAACATATACAGAAGGACAGCCCCCATCACCCTGGACTGCCATACAACAGATTGGGTTAAAATTGGGCCTGCTGATGATACTGCCTTCATTCCTACTATGTGTCTGTCCCCTTGGTGTCCCCAGAGCTCTGCTGAAGTCTCACCTGGAGATGTGTCACAATTGAGAGGGGTGTGGGAACGGACTGTGTCAGGTCCAAGGCAACACACACACGCGCGCGCGCGCGCGCGCACACACACACACACACACACACACACAAACATGCTCCCCTTCATGTTTAATCAACAGTTCCAGAAAGTTCTGAGAACCAGGTCTCATCCTTACAATGACTTCTGTCTTCATTATAATCAGATAAGGTCAATTTTTCTTCCTCCTTCAAAAACAGGACTCTCGGGATCCAAACCAGACGTGTTTTTTTCACCCAGAGAAAGCAGACAAGTGCACGCCAGAGCATGCTTCAGAGGGCGTTGTTCTTGGTAAGAGCCTCGCATGTGGGACACTGGGAGGAGTCAGTCAGAGGGACAGGCCTGGGCCACACTGTCCCAGCATACATATCCACATTGGCATGCTTTGTGGAAGTCTGAGCCCTTCCTTCCATCGTTCCTTCTCTCTGTCTCACATAAATTAGTGGTCTGGGGCTGGAGAGGTGGCTCAGCAGTTAAGGGTGCTTGCCTCTCTTCCACAGGACCCAACCTCAGTTCCCAGCACCCACGTCGGGCAGCTCGCAGTTGCCTGTAACTCTGCCTCCAAGGGACCCCACATCCTCATCCACAGGGACACTGCACACGCATTCACACACACAATTGAAAAGAAATTTTAAAAGTTAGCCATCCTCTTCCCCCACTCCAACAGGAGTGGCCTATCTTAAATCCGACGTGCAGGGGCCACCTGCGCTTCTCTAGTGAGGAGTCCCCGGGCTCTGGAGACAGGCAGTGCTTGCTGAAGCTCCTCTTTTTCTAGCGAAGCCCCATACGTGTCCTCACCTCCCTCTTGTTTCTCTCACCACATGAAGTATATTCGACCCGCATTTACCAGCCCCCCTGTGCCAGGCTCCGTGCTTGGTACCAGAAAGACCAAGGCTGTCATGTACTCTGCTATTGTTCATACTTAGTGCGGTACGTGACTTGCTGCCTGGTGTGCAGAGAACATGACAGCTCAATGGCTGTTGCTTGTCCTGAGGAGTCGCCTGGGGCTTGTGATTCAAAGACAGGGAGATTGCTTTCTTTTACTTTGAAGTATTCTAGAAAGCTCCCTGTCTTGCCTAAGATGCTATAACATACTTTCCTGTAGTGTGTTACTGGTTGTAAAATAATACCCTTTGTGTGTGAGAGAGGGGGCAGAATCCCTTTATATGTAGTCCTGGCTGCCCTGGAACTTATGTAGACCAGGTCAACCTTGAACTCACAGAGATCCACTTGCCTCTGCCTCGCGAGTGCTGGGATTAAAGATGTGTGCCACCACACTTGACCTATAAAGTATCTTTTAAGATCTCTTATTACTATTTTTCACTGTAATCCAGTGAAATAGTCAGAGGGTTATATTTTATAGTTGATATCTACCCATCTCAAATGTCTAGGACTCAATGTTTGATGAAATCTAGCTATCATAACTCAAAACTGCATTTATTAAAAATATTTAATTTAGCACTGATATACAGCTCAATGATAGAGCATGCATGAGGTCCATAGGTTTCTCAACCTATGGGTCAAGGCCCCTTTGGGGTTGAATGACCTTTTCACAGTGGTCACCTAAGACCATTGGAAAACACAAATATTTACGTTACAATTCATAACAGTAACAAATTTACAATTATGAAGTAGCAACAAAAACATTCTTGTGGTTAGGGGTCACCACAAACATAAGGAACTGTATTAAAGGGTCACAGCATTAGGAAGATTGAAAACTAACTGTCCTAAGTTTGATCCCCAGTACAGGGAAATAAAATCTTTAACTCACCACTATAGAATGTTCTATGGATTTGATGTTCTTTGACAAACAAATGCCTTAACTCACTGAGCCATCTTGCCAGCCCAAAATCTCCAACATTTTAAGTACTGACAAACCATCACATCTGACCTCAGATGACAGGTCACAGTCAGAACTCAGACGCTGAAACCATTCTATAAAATTACTTTAGGTTGTGTGTATAAAGTATACATAAACATAAGGGGGTTTCGTGTTTAATTTTGGGCCCCATCCCCAAGGTTTTTCTTTATGCTTGTGCAGACATCTGTCCTCCGAAAAAGTGAAACACTCTCTTCCCAGGTAGCTCAGACAAGGGCTGCTCAGCTGTGTTAGATTAAATTTTTCCATTGTTGTGCCCATTACTCTTGGCTTAGCATAGACGGTTATTTTTCAGTTAGCATCCATAGCATTAGGTTGCATTACAGTATTTTGTTGATTCTCATCCTCTTTACCCCATCCCTCTGACCCCTCCCCATACTCTCCTACCCCCCCACCTCCTTTCCACTTTTATGTCGCACATGTCCTATCGCCCACCCTTCTCAGTGTCTCTTTCCCCCTCTCATGATTTCCTTTCTTCTTCCATAACCTGTCTCCGCACTCACATACAACACATAGAAACATACAAGCTGGGATGGAATGAGTGAGAACAGGTAATTTTTCCTTCTGAGTCTGAGGTACCTCACATAATACACTTTCCCTTTCCTTCCATTTTGCTGAAACTTGCATATTTTTCATTTTGTTTTTGTTTTTTTGAAACAGGGTTTCTCTGTGGCTTTGGAGCCTGTCCTGGAACTAGCTCTTGTAGACCAGGCTGGTCTTGAACTCACAGAGATCCACCTCCCTCTACCTCCCGAGTGCTAGGATTAAAGGTGTGCACCACCACTGCCCAGCTGAAACTTGCATTTTTTATGGTTTCATAAAATTCAGTGTATATATATATATATACATATATATGTGTGTGTGTGTATATGTATGTATGTATGTATGTATATATATCACATTTTCATTATCATTTACCCATTGGTGGACATCTAGGCTGGTTCCATTTTCTTGATACTGTGAATCAAGCACCCATAAACATGGATGAGATGTGGTAGGTAGGATGTGGAGTGCTTTGGGTATCTGTTCAAGTATGAGATAACTGGATCATATGGCAATTCTACTTTTAAATTTTTTGAGAAATCTCCATACTGATTTCCATATGGCTGTACTTTACACTCCCACCAGCAGGAAACAAGGCTTTTTCTCTGTGCCTACGTCTTTGCCAACACTCATTCTTAGACAGTTATTTTTAATCACAGAAAGAAAAACATCATGAAAAATGGTTTTGCATCTTATGTTTTCTGTCCTCTCGACCACAAGCTATAGAGAGAGCTGAGAGTTGAGTGCTACCCAGGGCAGTTTGGGGTGGGCATTTGTGCTAGTGAGACATTTAGCCTTTATGTCCTGCAAAGCAAGAATGATGGATACACTCTGCTGCTTACCCCACCCAGTAGAGATAATGGATTTAGACTGGTTTGATGCTGCTCTTGGGTGGAAGGTTGATGAACACAAACCCACCTGACTCCAAAACTACTGCATTTCCTTCTCCACATTCCTTTTAGTCATGCAGAATCCCAAGGAAAACCACTTAATCTCAAGAAGCTGCTGGTCATTTTCATACTTCCTTCCTCATTTATTAATCTGTTATGTCTCAGTGTCTCATACCCTTTTTGGATCGATCAATATGTTTGGATATAACCATGCAGAGTTTCATTTATAATTTTATTTTTTACTTTACTTATGTATGCGTGTGTGCGCGTGTGCGCGTGTGCGTGTGTGTGTGCGCGCGTGTTTGTGTGTGTGTGTGTGTGTGTGTGTGTGTGTGTGCCCACATATGCAGAAGCCAGAGGATGCTGAGCATCACTCTCTGTCTCATTCCCTTGAGGCAGGCTCTCTCACTGAACCTGGAGCTTGCTGTTTATTCAGCTAGACTGGTGGCCAGCAAGCCCCAATGATTTCCCTGACTCTGTCACCCTCCTCCCCGGGGCTGTGGTTGCAGCTGCTTGTGACCACACTCAGTCTTTATGTGGTGCTAGGGACCCAAACTCAGGTTCTCATGCACCTACGAGTGCTCTTACCTATTGAGCCACCGTCCCCACCCCCATTTATCATTTTAATTTTGTATTATGTCCTTTTGTTCTCCATCTTCATTGCATCTTTTTTCTCTTAAATTTATTGACTATTTTTTAGAGCTGATATATTGGCCTTCCATGTTGCAATTTTATTTCTGCAGTTAGCATTGCCATTTCTTTTTTGGCTTTGAAGTACATTTATTTTGAACATTGTACACTGACTATAAGAATCACTTAATTTTTGAAGGGTTTTCTTTTGTGGTTTTTTGGTTTTTCTAGACAGGGTTTCTTTGTATTGCTTTGGAGCCTGCCCTGGAACTTGCTCTGTAGACCAGGCTAGCCTCGAGCTCACAGAAATCCTCCAGCCTCTGCCTCCCAAGTGCTGGTATTAAAGGTGTGTGCCACTGACACCCAGCATTTTTGAACAGTTTTATGTGCTGAAATTATGTGCTCCTTTGCTCAGCAAAAGTCCTGCTTTTATTTTTCAATACTGGGAATTGAACCCAGAGCCTCATGCACAGTCTACCACTAAGTTGTGTACCCGGCCCTAAGGGTTTTAAACAATGATAAAGATGCAGTACTCATATCCTACCACCCAGTTTAAGAAATGAGATCTAACCCCACCTTAAAGTCCAGTGTGGTTCCTCACCACATCTTCCTCCTAGTACAGCAGAATGCCTCTAGCTTGGTTTTAAATGTAGTAGTAGTAGTAATAGGTGGTGGTGGTGGTAGTGGTGGTGGTGGTAGTGGTGGTGGTTTTTATCAAGATGGTTTCTCTGTGCAGCTCTGGCTGTCCTGGAACTTGCTCTGTAGAGCAGACTGGCCTCAAACTCAGAGTGATGTGGACCACCATGTCTGGCTTTGTTTTATTATTCATTAAATGGGGGTGTGTGGTTTGCATGTGAGTGCAGTGCTCTCAGAGACCAGAAGAGGACATCGGATTCCCCTGTAGCTGGAATTAAAGGCAGTTGTGAGTCGGGCCCTACCATCACCACCTGTACTGGAAAGGGACTCACGTTCCCAGGATGCTGAGTCTTCTCTCCAGCCCCACTAGCTTTGTTTTGTGCCAGTATTTCCTGAACTTCTTCTCTGAGTCATTTTGTTGCTGTGGCAAAAGACCTGAGAGAAACTGCTTAGAAGGAAGGTTTATTCCCGCTCAGTTTCAGAGTTTGTAGTCCGTGGTGAGCTGGCTCCATCGCTTTTGGTCCCATGGCAAGACAGAAACACCATATAGGAAGGGGGAGGGAAGCTTCCACTTCATGGTGGCATAGAAGCTAAAGGACAAGACAGGAAGGGGTAAGGAGCAAGACATGCTCAGGAGTAAATGCTTCCTCCAGCCAAATCCTGCCTCCAGTAGCTCATTCTACTAGGAACTAAAAATTGATGAGGTTAAGACTGGGAGATGGCTTGGTATGTAAACGCTCACTGTAAACACGAGGCCCTGACTTCAGATCCCATCTCTTGAGTAAAAGCTGTACGTGACATACAGCATTGGAGGGCAGAGACTAGAGACCCATAGGGCCCACTGCCCAGCCAGTCTAGTGAAACAGCAAACTCCAGGTTCAGGACACTCGTCTCAAAATAAGGTAGGAAGTAATTGAGGAAGCCACCCAGCGTTAACCTCTGACCTCTACAAGTGTTCTGACTAACAATCCTGGTTGGATCCCTAAATTTTGCATGTGAGATGACATTGAGCTTTTCATTCCCAGTGGTCTTTGAGTTGTATCCCCCAAGAACTGCTATCATTCTCTACCTTGGTGCTTTTTTGTTGTTGTTTTTTGTTTGTTTGTTTTTTGGGGGGTAAAGGTCAATCTAAATTTTCTTTGAATAGAACCTGATATTGAGACATAATTTCTTTCACCTTTACCCACCGAGCCATCTCCCTGGTCCTATCCTAGATTTTTTTGAAGGAAATTAATTTTAAAGTAAAATGTAATACAGAAAAGTATACATATTTATAGTCCAATGAATTTGTAACATTTGTATAATCAGCATTCATATAAAAAAAAGAAAAATTACTGTTACTCCTGTAACCCCTAGTCCTTTCTCTTTCTTTTGACCCAGTGGTAACACATTTATTTTGTCCTTCCTGAATTATGTAAGTGGGGTTGTGAGGACCTCCCTCTTCTGTGCCTGCCATCCTTTTGTCAAGTCACGTGACATGCAGCAGCAGTTGGCTCACCCTCCTGGCCCTGTTGTGATTTACCACATAAACTGGTGGGGATCTGCTTGGCATCTGGTTTCCTTCTTCCTCAAAGCCCTTAGGGAATGACTGCTGTGACCTTTCCTTCCACTTACAGAAAACGTACGTGCACATTTTTGCCCCGTGTGTCCCTGGAAAGTTCTGTGTTTATGCATCTTTTGAGTCTTGGTAGACCTACTCGTTTCCCCAGTGTATGTGCTGACTTATATTCCAACTAGCAGAATAGGGGAGTTCACGTCCTTTTACAGCCTTGGAGTGTGTCAGCGTTCTGGAGGATGTGTCAGCTACCTGACCTCCTCTTGTTGATTGTCTAGTGAGGGTTTCAGTTCCCACTCTGAACAATGATGCTGTCTGATAGGCACAAGTTTTCAATTTTTAAGGTAGTTAAGGTAATGTATTACAGTTCTTTTCCTTCCTTTGGCTAATGCATGAGTCTTTTTAAAAATGTATTGTGGAGGAGTGAGGGAAGAGGTCAGAGGACAGCTTTTCGGGCTTGGATTCTCTCCTTGTGTTTGAGACAGTGTCTCTCAAGTGTCTGCTGCTGTGTTTGTACTCTAGGCTAGCTGGCCTGCAAGGTCCCGGGCAGTACTCCTGTTGCCATGTCCGTCCCCCCAAGGGAGTGCTGGGACAACAGATGTAAACCACTACATCCGCCTTTGTACCTGAGATCTGGGAAGCAGGCTTGAAGCACTTTTACCCAGCTTGCCATCTCCCCACCCCTTGTGACCCTTTCCAAGGCATCTTAAGCTAATGAAAATCAGTTTATTCTAGCAGCTTTGTTATTTTATCTTCCATCTTTAGGCCCAAAATTTGATTTTCTCTCTGGGTATTCAGCTGACCAGGATCACTTACTAAAAAGACCATTTCTTCCCAGTGTACCATGCCCTCCCCTTGTCAGGCACACGCTGACCGCTAATGTGTAGGTCAGTTCCGGGTCCTATAATCTGGTCTATGAGCCTGTTTCTGGGCCATCATGTTTCACTCTTTGTCCAATCTCATGCTGTTCTAACACTTCCAATCACTCTAGAGTGGTAATGAGTCTTATACTTGTCAACACAAGTTATCCAGCTTGGCTATTTATTGCATTCAGAATTTTCGGCTTGCCCATTTAGTTTCTGCAAAATTCCCTGTTAAGATTTTGGACATAATTTCCCAGAGTGTGTAGTTTAAGTGGGTAATTTAGAGTATCCCATTTCTTTGACTATGGTTGTATTCCTACTGTTTTTAGGTTTTCGTTAACTTCTTGGAAATGTTATTGTCTGAGGGATACAGTCCTGTCCATCTTTTGTTATGCCATATTTACTTCACAGTGTTGTTACTTTTGATGTAAGTATTCATCTTTAGGGAGTATAACTTTCTAATTATTTATTGCTGGAATGTGATATACTATAGTTTTTTGCTAATTACTGTTTTGCATTTTACATGAACATAGTCATGTCAAATTATGATTTGTATTTCTTCTTTTCCAAATTTAACCAATTTTTATTTTGGGGTGGTAGAGTCTCACTATGTAGCCCTGGCTGTGCTGAAACTAGTTCTGTAGACCAGGCTGGCCTCAAACAGAGTCTCACAAACTCACCTGTCTCTGCCTCCAGACTGCTGAGACTATAGGCTTCTCTAAGTCAAGCTGTTATGTACTCTGTGATCATCGTTGTTGGTTTGGGGCATGGTATGTGTGTAAGGTATATGTGTGGGGGCATGGTGTGTGTGTGTAAGTATATGTGTGGGGGCATGGTATGTGTGTAAGTATATGTGTGGGGGCATGGTATGTGTGTAAGTATATGTGTGGGGGCATGGTATGTGTGTGTGTAAGGTATATGTGTGGGGGCATGGTATGTGTGTGTGTAAGGTATATGTGTGGGGGCATGGTATATGTGTGTGTAAGTATATGTGTGGGGGCATGGTATGTGTGTAAGTATATGTGTGGGGGCATGGTATGTGTGTGTGTAAGGTATATGTGTGGGGGCATGGTATGTGTGTGTGTAAGGTATATATGTGTGGGGGCATGGTATATGTGTGTGTAAGTATATGTGTGGGGGCATGGTATGTGTGTGTGTAAGGTATATGTGTGGGGGCATGGTATGTGTGTGTGTAAGGTATATGTGTGGGGGCATGGTATATGTGTGTGTAAGTATATGTGTGGGGGCATGGTATGTGTGTGTGTAAGGTATATGTGTGGGGGCATGGTATGTGTGTGTGTAAGGTATATGTGTGGGGGCATGGTATATGTGTGTGTAAGTATATGTGTGGGGGCATGGTATGTGTATAAGTATATGTGTGGGGGCATGGTATGTGTGTGTAAGGTATATGTGTGGGGGCATGGTATGTGTATAAGTATATGTGTGGGGGCATGGTATGTGTGTGTGTAAGTATATGTGTGGGGGCATGGTATGTGTGTGTAAGGTATATGTGTGGGGGCATGGTATGTGTATAAGTATATGTGTGGGGGCATGGTATGTGTGTGTGTAAGTATATGTGTGGGGGCACGGTATGTGTGTAAGATATATGTGTGGGGGTATGGTATGTGTGTGCAAGGTGTATGTGTGGGGGTATGGTATGTGTGTGTAAGTATATGTGCATGCATAGATGGAAGTCAGAGAAAGGCGTCATGTCCCACTCTGTCACTCTCAACTTTAGTCCTTTGACAGAGTCTGTCACGGAACCTGTGGCTAGTCTGGCTGCCAGCAAAGCCCAGCCAGCCGTCTTCCTGTGTTTCCTTCCCACACCGAGTGCTGGGGTTCAAACTCTGGTCCTCATGCTGTGCAGTAAGAACTGTCACCCACTGAGCCGTGTGCCTAGTCTTCTATTTACTTTTTCTTTACCTTGTACTATGACTTACAGCATAATATTGATAAAAATGGTAATAGCAGCTTGGTTATTTCATTCCAGTCTCACAGAGGTATTTTTTGTTAATATTTTATGATTAATGATGGTTAATATGGTTCCTGTAGGTCCTCTTTTTTTTAATAACAAGACTTCTCTCCTGCTTTGCTGGAGTTTTCCATGACTTGTTTTGAACTGAGTCAGATGCCTTCCCAGCACCTGTCAAAAGACTGATGGATTTTCCTCCTTTATTCTGTTACTGTGGATGACTGAGAGTGGACCTGGACCTTTAACTGATCTGTGATAGATTATCCATTCTGCGTCATCTGGGGTGTTTTTGATGGATCTTTAACTGATCTGTGATAGATTATCCATTCTGCGTCATCTGGGGTGCTTTTGATGGTTTTGTTGTTGTTTATTTTTGATGTTATGTTGAGGAAATTTTATTTGTGTTCACAGAAAAGAATGCCCTGTGATTTTATCTTTTTGTGTCCTCATCAGATCCTTGTGGCTTCTACTAGTTTATAAACCCAGTTGGAGATCTTTCTCATTTCTTTGGAAGACCCTGTACTGTGAGTGGTGTTATTTCTTCTTTAAACATCTAGAAGAATCCACTCATCATGCCATCACCCCCAGAAATTTTCCCTGCGAGACAGTTTAAGTTGACGATTCTATATATTTCATAGATTCAGGCCCATTTAGACTTTGTTTTATGCATTTATGTTGTTATCCTGTCCTAAGAGTCAAGCCATCATTATTGCCATACTGTCTCTGTTAGCCATCATTATTGCCATACTGTCTCTGTTATGTTTTCATCTTACAAATCTTTGTGAAATCTGTCCTGATGCTGTCTCAACATATGAAGTACTATAGATTCTACATGAGATAAACACAAAGAAAATCCACTTAGGTGCCTCACATGAACACCGACAAAAACTGACATTAATAACATGTGCTTCTTTTCATGTCTTCACTTGTCTTGTTAAAGACTGACATCAGGTTTTTAAATTCTTGCTTTTTATTTTTATTTTTTGATGTTTCCTTTTCTTTTCTCTTCCTTTTTTAAAATTTAAGTTAAAAACAAGCTTGTTTCACATGTCAATCTCAGCTCTCCTCCCCCACCCTCCCCACCAGTCCCCCAGTCTCCACTCCGATCCCCAGGGAGGGTGAGGCCCTCCATGGTGGATCTCCAGAGTCTGTCATTTCATCCAGGGCAGGGCCTAGGTCCTCCCACAAGAGTCCAGGCTGAGAGAGCATCCCTTATTGTGGGATGGGCACTCAAAGTCTGTTTGTACACCAGGGATAAATACTACCCAAGGCCCCATAGATTAAATGTCTTGATAGCTTGTTTGTTTCCTTCTTTGTTGGATTTAATTGTCTCTTTTTCTAATCTCTTGATATTAGTAGTCAATATATCCATACATTTCCTATGTTTGGAAGCGTTAGCTGTCCTGGGAGCTCCCATTTGTATCTGTACTGACAGCATCATTCAGTTCAAAAGACTTCTAACTGTTGTCATGATTTCTCCTTTGATGTGCCAGTTATGTAGACATGTATCAATTTCCTTCTGTTCACTCTGATTTGGTTTTTAACATTCTGAAGTTCTGTCCTATATGTACACACAGAGGGTGGGAGGGGGTGGCCCCATTACATTCCTGGAGTATCGCCTCTTTGTTTTCTCTAATGTGGGATTTGTCTGATACTAATATAAGCGCCCATCTTTCTTTTACATTTTAAGTCCTTTCCACTCTTTTATCTTTACTGTTTCAGTGTCTGCATTTTCCTATTTCTGTTCTAATGCCCTGTAGCTGGGCTCTATTTATTTAGATTAGTTACTTTGTGTGTGGAGTTTGTTGTCTACTCCCCTATTTATACTGTTTATTCACCTGCTTTGAATTCTTTTTTATCTTTCTTCCCTTCTCTTGAATTGTTTTGTTGTTGTTGTTTTACTTTTGCCCTGTAAATTAGTTTGTTGATTTATAGTCTTTTGCCTTTTAGTGGTATGTGTAATACTTAAAACTAGCTTCTTATTATCCAAAATGATGTTTTTACTAATTCTCACACAGAATTGGGAATGTAGCTCAGTGGGTAGTGTACTTGCCTAACATACACCAAGCCCTGGTTCAGTCCCAGCACGGCATAAACCAGGCCTTGTGTCTGTGGCATGCCTATTATCCCAGCACTTGGGAGGTAAAGGTAGAGAACTGTAAGTTCAAGGTCATTATCGGCTACATAGTGAGTTCAAGGCTGGCCTAGGATACCTGTCTCCAAAAAAAAATTATTGTCCACAATTTACTTTTTCTACTACTTTCCCCTACATTTCTTGTCAGGGACACTTGTGGTTTCCTTTGAACTTAGGCCTGCTGTTGACACTGCCTCTTGTTTACTTGTAGGATAGTGTATCTATTTCATGTTTACTCTTTAGATATATTTTCTCTTTTTGGTCACTTACTCTTCTGAGTTTGGCAATTAGGTCCTTTGAACACCTGTGGTGTCATTTCACTGTCTTCTGGGTCCTGTGATTTGCACTGACAAGACTTGTTTTTGTCCCCTCATGGGTACTGCAACTTAACCTCTGTAGCCACTTTCCAAATGCTTTCAGTCGTTCTTCTGTGAGGCACCAGATGGACTGTAGCTTTGACCACGCTTGTTTCAAGTAAGGGCGTGTCTTCTGAGCTCATGATTTACGCCTTGAAATGTACCTATGTACTTTTCTCTTCTAGATATTTTTTAAAGTTACGGTTGTTTTGTGGTTCTCAATGGAAGATGATCTGGGATGAGTGGGAATGGGAAGTGCTAAGAAGAACTTGTTCTTGATAGGATTTCTTTGAACCTACATTATCCGTCTTTAGTATCCAACCCTTACTATTACGTATTTCAAAGCTTTAACTAAACTTATCAGAAAGCAGAAAATGGCATGAAATCTCAAACCCGCCTTCATAATATCATGGTGCCCATGGGTCAAAGTGAGAAGGTGTGGAATTGTCATGTGCAGCAACAGTCTATTTGGTCAGATAATCCATGGGGCTATATCTACTTTTTCTGCTAAAAATCCCATTTGTAAGTGATCATTATGCTCCCTCCCCCACAGTCTCAGAGTCCCCTTCCTAGAAATACTAGATGCTGTCTAGCAAGTGGACTTTGTTCCTAGGTTTCTGTTCTTACTTTTGTGTCACATGGGGTGTTTTCCTCCTGTAGATGTCACAATGTCATGTTGGGGCCATCCCTTCTGTATATGCTGTTGAACATCCTTATTTCATTAGTACACATGGGCACTTCACACAGTCAAAGGACAAGTGAACTTCTGATTATCTGATTGAATATTACTCAAATAAGTCTAGAAAAATATAAAAACATTGGTTTTGGTCTTGAGGCTTTCTTCCTACTGAGTGTTGACTTCTAGGTCTATTTGGTTAGATAATGGTTCAGAGTGTTATTTTGGCAACATCGGTGTTGTAAAGATCTTATCACCGGACAAGATAACTACGTACATCTCTTATATGTTAGCATAGTATGGTCTACATTAGAGATTTTTTTTAGTCTTTTTTTGTATTTTTGTGTGCTTTCTTTGATTCATTAAATTTTTCATATACTATATTTTGATCATGTTTTTTCTACTCCCTCCTAGATTCTTCCCATCCAAATTTATGATATAACTCTCTATAGAGAATTTTTGAGACAGAATCCTCTCTCTCTCTCTAAATATTTTATTATTTGTGTGTGTGTGTGTGTGTGTGTGTGTGCCTGGCACATGCAAAGACCAGAAGAGGGCATTGGATGCTCTGGAACTGGAGTAATATAATAGCTACCATGTAGGTACTGGGAGTTGAACCTGGATCTTCTGGAAGAGCAGCCAATATTCTTAACCACTAAGCCATATCTCCATCCCCCAAATCTTTTTTTTATTTGTTTTTTTATTTTACATCCTGACTGCAGCCTTCCTTCCCTTCACAACTGTCACATATATTCAGTCAGTCCTACGTAGGCCCTCTGGTTCTTGGTTCAGACTCTGTGAGTTCCCATGAGCCAAGATAGCCATTTTTATGGTTTTTCCTGTGATGTCCCTGACCCTTGGCTCCTACAATCCCTCCTTCCTCTCCTTAGCAAGACTCCTTGAGCTAAGTCCAATGTTTGGCCATGGGTCTCTGAATCTGTCTCCATCAGACACTGAATGAAGGCTCTTCACTGACAACTGGGATAGTCATCAATCCAATCACAGCCATCCCCCAAATCTTATTCTTTAACCCATGTTAGCCTCAAACTCATTGTGGTCCATCTGCCTCAACCACTCAAATGTTGGGATTACAAGCATGAATCGAGCTTGGCCTATAATAGATATTTTTGAGATTTAAAAGTCAGATAAAATCTACTTAATGACAAACAAAATGAATACTGTTCTCAGAATCCAACCCAGGTGCAAGATCTTTGAAACCAGGCTCCCAAACACTTCTGCCTTGGGTATAGCATTAGAAAAGCATCTACCACACTCCTGTGTTCTCCTCTCTGGCTATTTCCCTTCATGTTACCTCTTTAATCTTCAGCTGCAGCTTATTGGTTAGCATTGTTAACAGTCTGTTCATTTCATTCCATCAAGCTGTTTCACCAGGGTAAAAGTGACATTTGTGTTTTCATTATCTTTCAGGAGGGATTACAATGACCATGAGTAAGAAATGTGTCAGGGCAGATATCTCTAAAAAAGAATCAGATCAATGGATAATGGAGGAGAGAGTCACCAGAAGGACTTACTGGGAATGTGCTAACCTGTTAGACTGGCAGCACCAGGAAGGTCAGGAGGTCAGGTTACAGCAAGTGGACCTCACCCAACAGGACACACCATCAAAGCTTAGTGAGCAGGAAGCGGAGGTGTCTGAGAAGGGCTGCACAGTGAGCGCATTACCAATTCAAAGTCAGAGATCTCAAGCAAGCAAAACGGCATTTGAATGCAGTGAGTGTGGAAAAGCCTTCTCTAAGAGTGTCACCTTTAAGAAACATCAGAAAATTCATACTGAAAAACTCAACCCAAGTCAGGAAACGCCTATTAAAGAAAAGCGCTATGAGTGTAGAGAATGCGGGAAAGCCTTTCACCAGAGTACACACCTTATCCATCACCAAAGGATTCACACTGGTGAGAAACCATATGGATGTAAGGACTGTGGCAAGACCTTCTCGGTGAGCTCTTCACTTGCCTACCACCAGAAAATCCATACTGGAGAAAAGCCTTTTGAATGCAGCGTTTGTGGCAAAGCCTTCATCCGGAGCATACATCTCTCCCACCATCAGAGAACACACACCGGAGAGAAGCCTTTCCAGTGTAGCGTCTGTGGCAAAGCTTTTGTTTGCAGAGCACACCTTACCAAACACCAGAACATTCACAGTGGTGAGAAACCCTATAAATGTAATGAGTGTGGGAAAGCCTTCAATCAGAGTACAAGTTTTCTTCAGCACCAGCGAATACACACCGGAGAGAAACCCTTTGAATGCAATGAGTGTGGGAAGGCCTTCAGGGTGAACTCCTCCCTTACTGAACACCAGAGGATCCACACTGGGGAGAAGCCATATAAGTGTGGCGAATGTGGCAGAGCCTTCAGGGACAATTCGTCCTTTGCGCGACATCGGAAAATTCACACTGGAGAGAAACCTTACAGATGTGGCTTGTGTGAGAAAGCTTTCAGGGACCAGTCGGCCCTGGCTCAGCATCAGAGAATTCACACTGGGGAAAAGCCTTACACGTGTAACATCTGTGAGAAAGCCTTCAGTGACCACTCAGCCCTTACCCAACATAAGAGGATTCACACAAGAGAAAAACCGTACAAATGTAAAACCTGTGGGAAAGCTTTTATACGAAGCACGCACCTCACTCAGCATCAGAGGATTCACACGGGAGAGAAACCTTATAAATGTAGCAAATGTGGGAAAGCCTTTAACCAGACTGCAAACCTCATTCAGCATCAGAGGCATCATACTGGAGAAAAATGAGAGGAATGCAGGGTGCTGTGGGGGGTGGGGATGACATTAACTACTGAATACAGGAGACCACGTGAAGAATCACAATGAAATCTTTTGTTACTGTGGTTGTATTTACTAGAAGCCAAGTGTCACGATGACATGGGTTCTGAGAGCTTTAAGGATGGTATTTCTCTTTAGTACTGCCTCATTTGGATAGTAGTATTTTTTCTTATTGGCCTGAATTACCAAATATTAGAACCAAAATAAAACTTCATTAAAGGTATAATGTCAGTTTATCGAATTTATAATTTGTTAAGATAATTATAAAATTATAAAAATTAATACTGAGGAGCAAATGAACAAAAAAGTAAGAAATGGTCTATATGCATTTTATTCTAGATTTTCTTCTATAAGGAAGTTGCCACCTTTAATGGACCCCTTTGTCTCCCCTCACCCACAACCCTGAGGCCTAGTCCAAAGAAGTTGCAGTCAGTCACCTGTGCATGTGTCAAGAATCATTTAAATCATGCTTCTCATGATTCTGCTTCCGTTTCAACCACCTTTGTTTGTCAGACCTCCTGGGTCTACCTGCCCACTTGCTTCTTACTGTGTTCTTTTGGGAAGGTCCATTTGAATCATGTGACCCTCTTCTCACTTAGCTCCAACTGCTATTACTTTGTTCCTAGTTATCACCACCACCGACCTCATTCATAATGCAAATCTGAATTGCAAAATTGGCAGAGTCCATGATACTAGACTTCACACCTAAACCCAGCTTTCAGAACTCAGTCTCCTTTCTAGAGGCAAAGAGTCATCAAAAGTATTGTACAAGACCTCAGCTAACTACCCAGCTAACTACGATACTGGTAATGCCTAAATCAGGGCTTTTCCCTGATAGCCATTGCCCTCTAGCCGTTCCAAACCATAGTAAATTGTGCTGTCCACAGGAGTCAGGGGCTTGCTCAATTTCAGGTGGGCCAGTCCCTGCCATCCAGTTGTGGCTGGCATTCCTAGCCACTTCCACTTCAGTGACTTGCCGTGTCCCCATATACAGTTGACACGAGATGAGGGCTTACAGCCAGTTTTCAGAGGCTCTGACCATTACCTGCTCCTGGCCATCCCTCTGGCTGCTGTAGTAGAGGGTATCTGCCACTCCCATGCTATTGAACTGTGCACCCGGGTCCTTGTCCAGCCTTTGCCTGGGTTTCTAAAGCTCTAAGTCTGTGTTCTATAAAAGCAATATACCTATAGTTTCTGCTGATATGTTTGAAAGTTCATTTCTTTCCCTCTATTGGGGCACCCGACCACTTAAAGACCCTATTGTTCTGACAGTGGTGAGCAACATGTCGAGCAATTCCATGGGTCCTGAGATGAACAGTAGCACCATTGACATTCTCTGACCTGTGCAAGACCCAGGCCCAAAAGGCTGTGACAGACTAATCCTACAGGCAGGTCTTTCAATATGTTTGTTGTAGACATCACAGTCACAACCATGGGTCTCCTGTTTGCAGGTCCTGGGAACACTCTTCCACACCACAGGTACAAAGGATCTGTACTACTGCAAGGTGGTATGTACTCCCCAATAAAGATAGAGGAGTCAGTACCCTCGTTCCAGGAGGTAGGTTACTGCTTCCTGGTTTGTGGAAGTGCCATTTATGAAGCCGGGCAGTCTTGTCCCCTAAAGTGGTACAACTCTGTCCTCCGTTAAAGAAGGGGGAATTCTGTTTTGTGTCAGACTCTAGGTTGTATGATAGACCTGGAATCTTTGGGCACCTCCAAGCCTAAGTTCAGTCTCCAGCAAATAAAACCCACCTATGGGGGCAGGCCTCTAGTATGAAGTGACTGAATGTGTGTGTCCTCCATTATGCATGTAAAGAGGCATTGCAAGAGGTTACATGGCACTCCCAGGGGTGTGTCCCACACATACACCTGCAGATTGTGGATTAACCTGCAGCACCATGTTCCCTGTTACTGATGTCTGCTTCCAGCACCGTCCATGTGACCTGCTGGGCCCTTACTCCCACAAACCTCTCTCTCCTTTACCTTAAGTCTCTGAGAGTTTGCCAGTTCCTTTTTGTTTTGTATTGGCTTTTTTGAGAAAAAGGTCTCTGTAAACCAAGCCTATCCAAAACTCTCTAAGTTCAAGCTAACTTCAAAATATGTGGTGATCTTCCTGCCTCAGGCTCAATGTTCAGCTTGAGAGTCACATTTCTAAGCTTGCTATTCATCTTTTTGTTAATGGCAAAGGTAACCTCCTTTTTGATAGCGACAGCCTAAAACAGTGGCTGCAATCTCCTTTTCTCTGAGCTTATCTTCCTCAGGTGCACCTTCTTGAATTATGCTCGTTCATTCATCCCTTTCTGGGGAGCAGAAAGGCAGTAAATAGCCTGTTAAATATACCTGGGCCAACTCGAATGTCTTGTAGAGGTGCTTGCCTGGACAGTGGCGTTATGATGTTCTGGCGTGTGTTGTCCCGCCTTAACAAGGAGAACCATTGCCCAGTTACTCTTCCATTCCTTCCTAATCTGAAGTAGCATGAACTGTCTGTGTGGCTGATGGGACTACCCCAACGTCATCTTTGACTCCTAGTGTGCATTTTCAGGAACCTTGAGAGAAGTGTGTTCTGTAGCCAGGAACGGTGGTGCAGGCCTTTAATCCTAGTGCTCAAGAGGTAGGAGGTAGAGGCAGGCAGATCTCCAACTCTCAGGGCAGTCAGGGCTAGACAGAGAGGCCCTATCTCAAAAAAAAAAAGTATCTTCTCCCACTAGCTCTCTTCTGATCTCCCTGGTTTTGGACAAGACTTTGGGGTATTGAGAAGGGCTTTCCCCACCTCCTGCTAGTCAGGTTAATCTCAAGGCGGTTGCCAGGAAGAGCAATTCTAGATGTCATGGTCTTAATGACTGACCACTTATGTACACTAACCACACAGGGACCAGTGCTTGGGACCTTTCAGTTACAGTTTGCAAGCCGTCCATGACATATCTTCAGCAGCTCTCTTTTTTTTTTCTCTGTTTTGGAGGCTGTCGGTCCAGCCTGGCCTCAAACTCACAGAGATCCGCCTGCCTCTGCCTCCCGAGTGCTGGGATTAAAGACGTGCGCCATCAACGCCTGGCTTAGCAGCTCTCTTCACACATCCCATTCACCCTCTGGGCTCCACACAGTGCAGAGTTGGCTCCCAACACTCATGATACTGTCTCCTGGTAACCGGTCTGTGGCAGAGGAAGTGCTGAATTGGCTTGCAATGTCAGTCTCCTCAGTTCCTCCTCTGGACTACAGTGACCGAAAGGGCCACCTCTGTTCCAGAGCTTCCCTTCATCCTGCTGAGCTGACCAGAGGGAAGACATATCAGAAGTGCCAGTGTCATTGACAACACGGGTGTCGTCATAAAGATCTTATCACTGGACAAGATAGCTACACACACCTCTTATATGGTCTACATTAGAGATTTTTAAGTCTTTTTTTATTTTTTGTATGCTTAATTTGGTTCATTAAATTTTTCATATACTATATTTTGGTCCTGTTTTTTCTCCTCCCTTCTAGATCCTCTCTGTTCAAAATTATAATGCCTCTCTCTCTATACGTCTGGTGGCTGGATGTTAGCTTAGAAGTTACAAGGACTTGCTGCTCTTCCAAAGGACTGGAGTTAGGTTCCCAGCACCAATATCACATGGCTCACAACTGCCTGTAATTCCAGCTCCAGGTGACCTGATGCCCCCAAGGAGACTGTGGTGTTTTTAACTGTGAGAAATGAATTATCTCGGCCAAGGTCACCCATCTAATAAGTGGTAGGATGGACCTAATCTCAAGTTGTCTGTTTGCTGTTTATGTCTATGGGTGTTTTGCTTGCATGTTTATGTGTGTATCTTGCACTTACCTAGTGCCTGTGGGAGCCAGGAGAAGGAGTTGGATCCCCTGGAGGAAGTTACTTCACTCCCAAAGGTACTAATGAGAACTATCAGCATTTCACTTTGTCCAACTAGCACTCTAAGCAGCCCCCCTCTCTACATCCCAAGGCACGAAAACTAGGGAAATTTGGCGGTGGTGGCACACGCCTTTAATCCCAGAATTTGGGAGGCAGAGGCAAGCAGATCTCTGTAAGTTTGTGACCAGCCTGCCCTACAAGAGCTAGTTCTAGGACAGGCTCCAAAGCCACAGAGAAACTCTATCTTAAAAAAAAACAAACAAAAAAAAAACAAAAAACACCAAAAAAACCCCAAATGAACATCTTATTATACTTTCTGATAACTAAAGAAGCAACAGAAAACTAAAGTCAAACTTCAGGGGAACGTTATATTTGTTAACTAGAATTCACTGAATAAAGTGAAAAAGTAAATATGTGTAATGAATTATTGGGGGTAAGTTTCCAAGAAGCAAACATGTCATACATGTGACAAAACTAGAATATGTGTGACAAAATTTCACACTATTGAGAAAGTATAAGCATATTATTAATATAAAAAATTCTCTTACACACAAGTCTCAACAGCTTCCATAGGAAGAAAGGTTTTGAACAGGAGAGTGAAGCTTGTCTCAAGGGGCAACCTTCCTCTGATTTGAGCAGCTCATGCTGGATAGAAAAACTAATCAGATATGGACTAAGCCTCCGACCCAGAACTCCACTTTTACTAGACCCTATAATATATACCAGGAGGAATAGCTCAAGGGCAGGTGATATGATAAAGCCTTCAGATATAATCTGGCTCTTAGTCCACAGGGGGAAAACCCATACTAGCAGAATCCCTTATAAGATTCACAAATGTGAAGAAAAAAACCCCACCAAACTCTATTCGAGGGTTCAGTTTGATTGATCAGATATCTGGTAATCCAAAATTATGAAGGAGACTATTGGGGAGGTGTCAGTCCCCCAGTGAGCATAAAAAAAAGGAAGAACCAAGAGGAGGAATTTCAGATGAGAAACTCTTGTCTAAGTCACAACTTGGTTACACTGACAAATTCAGACAGGAAAGAAACCTTGTGTATTTAGTAAATATGTATTAAATATAAATATGTATTAAACATGGCAAGTTCACAATAACAGAGGCTCTACCACTTTATACAAAATCATAATGTGGAGAAAACCAGCAATAAATGCACAGGAGAAAGCCACAGGAGGAAGGTGGACAAGAGTGACTGGACAGGAAATGGGGACTTTGGCTGGATTCCAGTCAGTAACCTCAGGTGGTGAGGGATCCATGAAGTACGGTCAATAGAAAACACTAGATACCATTCTAAGTCAAAGCCTGGGGGAAACCACACAGATGCAAAAAGAAAAAAGGTGGAAAGTTTCCAACCCGAAGTCAAAACTCATTGCACACAGAGAAACACAAAACAGTAGCTGCAAGAAAACTTTTATTCAGTCACATGGACAAGGCTTTCTCAAGAGGATACATTACACATTTCTGGGAACTCAAGCAGGACAGGAACCTTTGTAGGAGCCTGAGAAAGCATTCAGTGCAGTGACAAATGTGATGCCACACTTTGAACTGTGAGAAGACTAGGAACACGTGAAGTGAGGCAGGAGAGTCTAGACAGCAGAGATACTCTAAAGAGAAGCCGGTGGTGTTTTCAGGATGCTAAAGTATTGTACCTCAAGGTCAAAACTCACTGTGGAGCATCTCATTGAAAGTCAGCTCACTTTCAAAAATTAGTTCTGCACCTTGAATACTGGAGAAGTCATCATAAGTTAAAACAGCTAACTCAATACATTTAAAAAATGAAAGAAAAGCAAACAGGGGAAACAAATTTCCCTAACTAAACACCAGCTCTGTCAAAGAAAGATTAGTAAAAGTGAAAGTCCATGCATGGCATTTCAGTCGCCTCCTCCATATGTCTCATGCCCACCTTTCAAAGGGGCACTCCAAGAACATATGTGGGAGAGCTTTTATAGCCATCCTTATAATTTAAAATCAAGCCTGGCATAGCTACACATACCTTTGATCCTAGCCCTCCGGAGGCAGAGGCAGGCGGATCTCTGTGGTTTGGAGGCCAGACCATTCTATATAATGAGATCAGGACAGCCAGAGCTACATAGTGAGAAAAAAATAATAGTCCTCACCACAGAAACAAGACTGTTCCTGGACCCCTGAACAAAGCCCAGCTGTTCTTTATTCTCTCACACACACCAATGTCTTGACATTTCTTCGGGTTGGAGCAATTTACGGGAACATACACAGCAAAGGAACACTGCCAAACTTTGTGGAAACGACCTCACAGAAGCCGGCCCCAGTCCCCTGTTCTCCCCTCTCTATGCTGCAGGCCCACCCTGGCTCTCAGGACTCTCACACGTCTCTGCTCCTCTGTGCCAGGAAGATGATAACTCCCTGAATACAGACCCCTAGGTTTCATTTTGTGGCAGTTTCACCCCCTCAGCTCTAAGCCTGGATTTCATGTTGTGGTTTTCAATCTGACACCCTGGCCAGCCCTAAGGTTATGTTGTTGGATCAAGATAAATTTCACCCTGACCTGGCAAGCCCTGGCTTCACCATGGTCGTTGAGGGCCTGTTCCGAAGGCATCAGTTTAGTCTTTGTCTTAAGACCAAAAAAGAAAGAAAGAAAGAAACCTGGAAGTGAGTATTTCCTGTTGTGGGTAGGAAGGACAGAATGATGAGGCCAGGATGCAGGAAAGCAGAAGTCCAGCATGGCTCAGGGTCTAGCTCTTTCTGAAGGCAAGCCCAGCCGTGCTGGAAGTGGTCTCCACACATTCACGGCCGCTGGTGGTCACTGTGGATCCTTCGCAGCCTCTACCGTGAAGCCAAGAGAAGCAAAGAACATGCAGGGAGCAGCCTGTGGCACCCACACTCCGTCCTGTTACTTGGCATCCTCTGTGTTCTCGCTCTTGGGCGGGGCCGCCACCGTGGAGGTCGTCTTGAGGCTGCGCTTCCGCTTCTGCACATTCTGCTCCGGATGGAACAGGATGACGTAGGTTTTGGGCACATAGAGCATGCCGAGGGACACTGACGCACTCAGGCTCAGGGACACAGTCAGTGTAGTCGTTTGGATATAGATCTAGGCATGGAGGAAGGAACAAGACTGGAGTTAGCCATGGTTTCTCTCAACCCCACCACCTATAGACTGGAGGTTAGCAGGAGAAAAGCCAGGCCCAATGTGGATCTGGTGTAGGCCGGAAGGTGATGGATGGGTGGAGTGACACAGACTGAGTGGGCTATTAAGAAGGAAGAGCGTCGACTTGAGAGGAGGCTCAGTAGTAAAGGCACTTGCCATCAAGCCTGCAAACCCGCTGACTCCCAAAAGCTGGCCTGCAATCTACACAGTTTGTACTATGGTACATGCAAGTGCACTCACACACACACACACACACACACACACACACACACACACACACACACACATACACAAACAGAGAGGGGAGGGAGGGAGAGAGAGAGAGAGAAATAAATAATGTTTAAGAATTCCTTTTTAAAAAAAGTAAGAGGGGGCCGTGTGGTGGTGGCACACACCTTTAATCCCAGCACTCGGGATGGGGAAACCCTGTCTCGGAGGGAAAAAAAAAAAAAGGAAGAGGCCCTGGAGACATGACTTTGTGATTTAGAGCACTTGCCGCTCCTGTGGAGTACACGGGTTCAGTCCAACACTAAGCAACTTAAAACCACTCATAACCATAGGGGACTCTATCCCCTTTTCCAGCCTCCAAGGGCACCTGCATGCATATGATATACATACAAACAAGCAGGCATATGCAAATAATAATTTTTCAAATTACAAAAACAAAAAAAGAGAGGGTTTGGGGGGAAAGGTTCCCACTCCTGAAGAGCCAGAATGTATTAATGAGTAAATGAATGAACATGTTTCCAAATATAGAAAGGAGGGGACAGACAAGGCTTTCACAAAGGAGTGGGTGACACAAAACACTGGTACAGGGGAGGAACAATGTTCTCTAGTCATGAGTATGTGACTAGAGAAAGAGCCAAGCAATTGGCCAGCGGATTAGCCAGGTAGGCGGCATAAACTATAGGGAGAAATTAAACGAGAAGAAAAAAAGCAAGAGTGGAAGGTAAGACGTTAGGCAGAGGGTCAGAAGGATGGGTGAGTGAGTGGAGGGAGAGAAGAATGAATGAAGAGCCTATAAGAGAGACAGATGAGTGCAGCCAACCCACAGCCATCCAAAGGAGGCATCAGAATAGGTGGTCCAGCTCCTGGACAATCAGCCCTGCGTTAGGGGTAAGGAGTGGGTGGCAGGAAAAGTCTGCTGGGGGGCCCGGTTACCTTCTCAGCTGACTGGGCAGTGCCGAAGAAGATGGGAACAAAAGCCAGCCAGATAATACAGGTGGTGTACATGGTGAAGCCGATGGGCTTGGCCTCATTGAAGGTCTCAGGCACACCCCGGGCCTTGATGGCATACACTGTACAGGTGACCATGAGCAGGAGACTGTAGCCCAGGCAACCAATGAGGGACAGATCAGACATGTCACACTTGAGCACACCCCTGGCCTGCTCCGGGTCCACCGTCCTCTGCTCCTCATAGTCAATCACACTGTGTGGAGGCTGGGCTCCCAGCCACGCTATCACGCCCACTACCTGTAGGAACCAACACAGTGTCAGGACATCTTGTCTGCTAGTGATGAGTCCATTCCAGCCCCTCACCTAGGTCTCTGGCAGGGTCAGATTCTCTGTGATGTTCTTGGTCTATTGAGTTGGATGCTCAGTCTTGAAAGACTCACTGTGAAGAGGGACCACCCAGGGGTGTGTTCTTACTTGTGATGAGGTGGATGGAAAGGAGAGCTGTGCTTGTGGCACATGTGGACCTCATCAGGCTGGGTGGGTGAGCGGCTACCCAGGACCACCCCACACTGGACTTTAACAGCGATGCCATGCACCTGAGCACCTTCAGTGTTCTAGAACCTCCTCCTCAGTTTCTCCACATGCAGACTGAAACCCATAATGTGTTATGAGGACATGATGCCATCTCAGAAGAACAGCTAATGCAGGTGCGACCAATGATAACCAGTGCCCAAAACCATGCTCTGTCCTCACACCCATGCTACTCTATAGGTGTGACAGTACCAGCTTGCACACAACTAACAACGTGGCAAAGCTGGTTTCCAGGGATCCCCACCCTCTTCCCTCTCCAAAGCTAGAGAACTAAGAACAAAATGCCATAAGATTATGGGTAAATGTACAGTGAAGCAATATGTGGCCTCATCATAGGCCAGAGCCTAATGCCCAAGTCCTAACAGGAAGAAGATGGAGTTTTATCTGCTTCCTAGTGACAATAGACAGACCCCTAAGCCAACTTCAGCAGATAACATGGCTAAACAGTTAGATGCTCAGTTTTCTCTACAGATTTATCAGTGGACATTGTTGTTGTGCTCAATCCTGAAGAAAAACAGGGTGCTGAGTTCTTGTGTTCTGCTGGTTGTTTGAACAGTCTCACTATGTCATCCAGGCTGGCCTTGAGCTCGCAGAGATCCTCCTGCTTCTGCCTCCCAAGTGCTGGGATTAAAGGCATGTGCCACCACACTTGGCCTGTCCTTCTGATTTTTAAGCTCAGGAACCCAAATGGAAAAAGTTGATTCTATAAAGCCCACTTCTCTGAAAGCATGTTTTTTTAAGGCAGGGTCTCACAATGCAGACCAAGCTGCACTGTATTGCATAGAGAGCTCTGTCTCCCAAGTACGTCATTTAAAGATATGTGCTACTACACCTGGCCTGAAAAGTGCTATGTACATGAGGATGGTTTGAACTTCTGATCCTTCTACTTCCACCTCCTGAGTACTAGGATAACAGGTGTGTGTGACCATGCTGGGTTTACGCTTTGCTGGGGAATCAAACCCAGGGCTTTAGCATACTAAGAAAGCCCTCTACCAATTGATCTGCACGCGTCTCTTATTCTCTAGGTTCTAAGGAGGAACTTACCCACCCCCACACGCACTCACCATGTTACTGAGGAATCTGGGGACCCACCTGTAGGGAGGTGAGGCAGAAGGTGATGACCAGCTGTGATGTAGGGCTGATGAAGGGTGGGGGTGTGACAGAGCGTTTCCCTTGCTCAAAGATGCGGTAGATGCGGTTGGTCTTGGTGAGCAGGGCTGAATAGCTGAGGGTAGTACCCAAGCCAAGCAAGAGTCTTCGAGCAGCGCAGATAGCTGCACAAGGCTCAGCTACCATGAGGAAGGTGATGGTGTAGATCAGGAAGATGCCAGTGAGCAGCACATAGCTAAGCTCCCGGCCAGAGGCACGGACTATGGGAGTGTCATTGTGACGCATGAAAGTGGCTATAATGGTGGTGGTGGCCATGATGCCCAGTACAGCCAGAAGAAGGGGCAGAGCAGCCCATGGAGAGGACCAGGTCAGACGCACCACAGGTGTGGGGCGGCAGCCAGTGTGGTTGGGTGTGGGCCTCATGTCCCCTGGACAAGCCTCACATGTGAACTCATCCACCTGGAAGCGGTACCCATCACAGGCTTCACAGTGCCAACAGCAGGGGACACCCTTCACCATCTTTTTCCGTTCACCAGGCCCACAGGGGAGGCTGCATTGAGAAGGGGGCATCTCATGGGGATCGCCTGACCACAGCAGGGCTTCCATCTGGAACAGAGAGCACACAGGCTGCTGGCCTTTGCCAGGAATTAAGAGCCCTTCACCACCATCTGCAGCTTAGTCCCCGTCACTTACATCCAGTCTAAGGGTCTCTGCCCACTGGCCTACAGCCTGGTACCCGCCACTGCTGGCACTGCCATTGGTTGCCTGGTACTGGAAGATGTCATAGCGCCCAGGGGCATCTCCGTTCTCATTGAACATCACTGGGGTTCCTGCGCTGCCTGCAGGGAGAGGCCAGTCATCTCCAGTTGCTTTTCCAGCCCCCAAAGCCTCAAGGACCAGCCAGGATACAGAAAGAGCTTGACAGGCTCCTGGCAGGATGCTCAGCATCACTCATTAGCAGTGAATGTAGCTTCAGACCAGGAGATGCTGCCTCATAGCCATGAGGAGGACATGGGGCAAAACATGCCCGCAGAGTTGGAGATGGCTCAGTGGGTTAAGAGCCCTTGTCTGCTCAAGCATGAGCACCTGAGTTCAGATCTTAGCACCCACTTCCGGTGCTCAGAGACAGAGGCAGGAGGATTGCTGGGTCTTGCTAGTCCCCACCTACCTCCAGTTTCAGTGATAGACCCTGCCTCAAAAGAATAAAGTGGGAGAGTCCTAGAGCAGGATACCTGATGTTCCTCCCAGACAAGCACCCAAGTGTATACACACAATATACACAACTCTCACAAAACCAAAGCAGCAGGGCCCCCAAACACCTGGTGGAGAGTGTACAATTTTATGCAGAATAATATTTGAATATAAACACAACTCCTGCATGCCACATGCACATGGGGAATCCCTTTGTCTGTTCAGATACATTCCTTAGAGCCTGGACTCTATGCAGGTTCTGATGGTGCAGGGAACACGTCAGACCCATGCCTTATGCCCCAGCAGCTCAGAGCCTGGCCGGGGCTACATTTGGAAGCCTGTGACTCAGAGTGAGCTGTGCATCCGTTACAGGGTTCATACTGGGCCCAGACCCACCCACAGAGCCTGGGTCTTCTTGGCTGTGTGCCATGGACAGGGAGTTCTATGTGACCTGTGGGGCTTGGTAGATGGGTCAAACAGCAGTTTCCCAACATCAAATTTCATGAATTTTTTTAACCCAGAGGGTTAAAAAAGCAGAGGCCTACACTTAATCCTGGTATCTTCTCTTCCATTCTGCCTCTTTTTCCACTCTGAGTTGTCCCAGCTGCTGTAGATCAACCCATGGAAACTGGCTTCCCCACTGTGGGACCAGGCACCCACTCACCATTGAAGCGAACCGCTCGAATGTAGTTCAGCAGTGTACGGCCATCAGTAGGCTCCATGGCCGGGCATAGACCTGTGTGGCCTGGGCAGAGTGCTTGGTGCATCCTGTGAAGCGCGTGGGCGATGGCATACACAGCATCTATCACAAACTGCACCTTCCCCTCCTGCTCATAGGTGGAGTCTTGGCCGATGCGTTCCTCGCCTGTCCTAGGAGGTCCAGAGGAAGTGTGCCTGGCCCCTAGGACTCCCATCCTCTCCCGTCATCCTCCCCATCCAGGGTAGTGCTCACCTGTGCATTTTCGAATGGAATCATCTGACTGGCCACCTGAGCTGGTTAGTTTGCAGTTAAAATTCTCCTCCCAGAACTCGGCAAACCAGATATTTCTGCGGTTGTTCTCCAGGGAACGAGTCATGAAGTATTGGTCAAATCCTAAGAGGTAGGAGGAAGGTGATTGTCTGAGCCAGATGTGCGTCTCTCACGTCCCTTTGTCAATGGCCCACTTTCTTTCCAGGAGTGGCCCTGTGACCAGGTTCTGGATTCTGAAGGTAGAGACGGAGCGTGGGGGGTGGGGGCGGATCCCCAGAGCAAGCTGACCAGTAGGACTAGCTATATTGGTGATCTCTGGGTTGGACTGAGAGACCCTGCCTCCATGAAGAAGGTGGGAAAATAATTGAGGGTGCTTCCTGACATCAACCTCAGGCCTTCACATGCACACACATACATGTGCATCAGGTACCCACCCATGCACATATATATATGCATCAGGTACCCATCCACACACATACATGTGCATCAGGTACCCACCCATGCACATATATATACATCAGGTACCCACCACATACATACATGTGCATCAGGTACCCACCACACACATACATGTGCATCAGGTACCCATCCACACACATACATGTGCATCAGGTACCCATCCACACACATAAAAAATGGGGGGGGGTTGAAGATACATGGGCGCTCCAGGGTCGAATTTGCATTCCTAAAGAATTTATCACTGCCCTTTCTGTAGTAGGGTGTTGCTATGGCTACATGATGAACAGAACTTCACTATCTATCTTGTGACCATGAGGCCAGAGGCACCAAAGAAGCAAAGCTTTAGAAAAGAAAGGCAAGCAGATTCCAGGCTTTGAGAACAGCACTGGCTCACTGCTGCACACCTGACACCACCCACTTCCAGAACTCGTCTGATGAAATGCCTTGATGCTAAAACTCTGCTCGGACCACTTTCTCCACTTGCCATTTCTTTAGCCTTCTAGCTAAAGGAAAGGGTGCAATAGTGAACACCCCACAAAAGGTGAAGCCTGTGGGAGACGGAGCTCCTCTACTGGGTCCCTGAAGCATGTCATCAAGGCTGTGTTTTCAGTTCAGTATTCAGAGAAATGGGCAAGCCCCTCACAGAGTGAACCTCAAAGGCATGAAGGGAGCTGTTGGGGAGACAGACAAGCGAGGCCTTGCTTCATTGCTTTCTTTGATCAGCAGGATAGTATATTCCACATCCTTGGTTTCTCTCCCTCCAACCTTCCCATTTAAATTACCTTTGGTAAAACCCAAACTACATGCATGGAATTTTAAAACAACAGCAAAACCCTAGGGGTGCTTTGCCATTCACACTGTGCTGAGTTTCCATTCCCTCGTATGCCTCTTTCAAACACTGCTTGCTGTGATATAACCACAGCATCTGGGACCCCTAGAAGAGAGTAGTTATACAAACATGGAGATGAGCATCCCAAAGAGGAAACCTATGGGAGGATGAGGGATGGGGGACTTACCATCAATGGAAGCCCTTTTGGGCAAGATAGTGATGGCCCCCACAGCCACATCCTCTAGATTCAAGATGGGGGAGATCTTGGATCCCCAGCTGTCTGATCCAACCCAAAGGAAGTGGCCAGTCAGGTTGGCCTGGCGTGTTGCCTCCAAGACCCTCCTGGTAGGAACAGAGCTAGAGGTGAGTCACAACCTAGGATCTTCCTCCAATTTGGTCTTGGCCACCTCCCATCCTGTATTTCTCCATCCTACTCCATCTCGATCATCACATCCCTGTTTATCAGGGCTCTCCCAGTGTGTGTGTGTGTGTGTGTGTGTGTGTGTGTGTGTGTGTGTGTGTGTGTGTGTTGAATTGTATGATATATACATGTGTACATGTGTGTGGTGGACATAGGTCAACTTTAGGTGTCATTTCTCAAGTCCCATATCTATCTATCTATCTATCTATCTATCTATCTATCTATCTATCTTTTCATCTAGTTAGTTGAGACAAGATATCTTTAGTGGCCTAGAGCTTGCTGATTTGGGTAGGTTGGCTGGCTAAAGAGCCCCAAGGATCCTCCTACTTCTACCTCCACAGCCTGGGACTACAAGCAGCATGCCACTGGGGATTGAGCTCATGTCTTCATCCCTGTGTAGAAAGCACTTGGCTGACTGAGTCATCTTCCTGGTCCTCTGTCCACTCTAACTCACTCTGCACTGGTCCATAGATGATGTTATGGTTTGGATTTGGTTTGAGTGATTCTATCTGGTAGAAGCTTGGACCTCAGTGTAAATGCTGGGAGGTGATGTGGCCCTTAAGAAGTGTGGCTTTCCGGGCGTTGGTGGCGCACACCTTTAATCCCAGCACTTGGGAAGCAGAAGCAGGTGGATCTCTGTGAGTTCAAGGCCAGCTTTGTCTACAGAGTGAGTTCCAGGACAGTCTCCAAAGTCACAGAGAAACCCTGTCTTGAAAAACAAAAAACAAAACAAACAAACAAAAAAAGAAGTGGGGTCTGCAAGCCAGCCCTGACATTGAACACTGACTGACTGACTACCTGTAATCCCAGCACTTGTAGATCAGCCTGGTGTACATAGCAAGTTCAGGGATACATAGTGAGACTCTGTCTCAAAAAATAAAAAAGGGAGCTAGTGCAAGGTTATTGGGTCACTGAGACATTGTTCCTGTCCTCTGGAGGGGTCATTCTGTGAAAATGAGTAGCTATAAAAGATGAGCCCAGCCCCTCTTCTTTCTGATGTTCTGTCTCAACATGCACTCTCTCCTTCTACCCTCTCCTCCCATGATGACATTTGTCAAAATGAAAAGCAATCTGGGCCCCCAGCAGAGCTTGTGTCGTGCTGCCTCCAAAATTGTATGTTAAAAATATGTCTTTCCCTAATAAATTACCCAGACTTGGATATTTTGTTTTAGTAAGAACAATGGATTAGTGCAGAGAGCTCCTTTGGGGAAACGCAGAAGTCATTCCATCCATAAATGCCTCTACCAGTGTCATGCCCAACTTCCTGGGCTGGAAAAGTGCCTTAGCTGGCTTTTGTACAATGTGGGTTTCAGGGTTTACTGGGAGTGTGCCCCTCATGGTACATTTTCTGCTCTTGGGTCTGCCCACCAGTTCCCTCTACCACAGGGCATCTCCAGCCAGTCAGGACCGACTCATACCCTGAACTCAAGACTCCAGATGGCAACAGGAAGAGCTTGGGGAGAGGAAGGGAGTTGATCGTGGCTGGGAGTCAGGAAAGAGAAGATCTCAAAGGGCGTGGTGACTGAGTGTGCCACCAGTCCCACCTGATGTCATCCTCATTGGCAAAAATGATGATGCCCCGAGCATTAGGCGTTTCCATGAGTCTCCGGATCACTTTGTGGAATTCTCCTGGCTTTGGCTCCCTTGGAATCTTTATTGATTGGGCAATACAGACACCTCCTGGATGTCGGGGATACCAAAGTGAACTCTTGTCTCACCCACCCTCACACATACCCACCTGGCTGCCATTTCTGTGACTTTGTAGGGCTTAAATAAGGAGTTTGGAGGGTGGAGATCTTTCCTGGATCCTACCTAAGCATGACCTGAGTCCCTTAAAGCAGTGGTTCTCAACATGTGGGTCTCAAACCCTGCGGGGAGGGGGGGTGAGGATTGAACGTCCCTTTCATAGGGTTCACCTAAGGCCATCGAAAACACAGATATTTACATTACAATTCATAACAGTAGTAAAAATCACAGTTATGAGGTAGAAATGAAAATAATTTTATGGTTGGGGGTCACCACAACATGAGGAACTGTATTAAAGGTTTGCAACATTAGAAAGGTTGAGGACCATTACCTTAAGGGACCTCACCCACCCAGAGCACCATTCTGGCTTGCCACAAGGACCACCCCACCCCAGTTTCTGTCCCATCCAGTGGTTCTTGGTTGTCCCCTTCATTAACTGAATGTTGACTGGGACCTCTATCCCAACTCCCTACTCACCGGTCTCCCGGGAGATCTGCACAAAGGCCTCAACCCCACTCTCGCCATAGTTGCCTTCAGAGGCCAGTGTAGACACATAGTTCCATCCCAGTGCCCGCACAATGTCCACCATGGCCTGAGCCTGGTAGGAGTCAGGGGGCACCACTCTGGAGAAGAAGTCATAGCGCGTGGAGTCACTGAGCTCTGGGGCTGTAGAGGCATAGCTGATCTGGGGTATCTGAAGCAGGAAGCACAGAAAACTAGGCTGTGGCTGAAGGTTCCATAGACCAGGGTGGCAGTGGGGACTCAGGACATAGGCCACAGACAAGTTGGGGATAGCTCTGGGGTACAGTGGGGACCTGGGACTCAGATGAGGCATGGAAGGTTTGGGGGGCAGTTGGAGGCCAACTGGAGGGGCCACACACAGGGGCTAGAAATATGGGGCTAGTGGGCTGTCTATGAATGGATCTGATGACTGGAAGGTTAGCAGGGCTTAGAGCAGGGTCACCAGTTGCACAAGCTATAAGCCAAACAAGGATACTGGAGCTTAGGGAAAGTGTGCTCTGGTCTGGGGAGAGGGTGTTCTGTTGGCCCTGTTTCTCGGAGGGAGAGGCAGTCTTTTTCAGTGGCAGCCCCCTGCTAGGATCACAGCTAACCAGAGCTGGAGAGGAGGGGAGTGTTGGGCTGGACAGTCTAGTGGAAAGGCTTGTTTGCAACTAGGTTTCATCTATATCATAAGAGAGATTAGTAGCAGGGATTATGGGCTGAACCATGTTACAGGAAAGTGGAGCACAGAACTGAGAAAACAAGAAAAGGAGGAGGAGAGGCTTGGGAGGGGAGCAGATATGACCCTGAGGGAGATAAAGAGGGACAGCAGACAGACCGAGGTTGGAAGGGAGACTTGGGAAAGAGGGCTGGGGCTATCCTAGGGCTGCTTGAAGGGGAGTGTGGTAGCAGTACAGGAAAGGGGAATGGGAAAGAGGGAAGGAAAGAGGAAAGGTGGGAGGAAGAGAAGAAAGAGGGGTGAGGGTCGGGGAGCAGAAGATAAACAATAAAGCAAAAACCAGAGAAAAGAGAACCAAGAAAGGTCTACTCGCTGCAGTAGAATTGAAGTCCTCTTCGGGTGCAGCAAACCCCATCCACGATCCCCAAGATGGCTATTATAGAAAACACCCAAAGCCTAAAACCAGAGCCGTCCCCCCACTTCCTGGGCCCTATGCGCCCCACCCCAATCGGGGCACTTCAGACTGCTAGGAACACAGTGCCCCCTAACGACGAAAAAGATGCACAGACTTGCTGATACACAGAAGAAAGGGGAGGGAACTCAGTCTGTAAGACCCCCTTCACTAGAAGGGGTTAAAGGCAGGCATTTTGAAATGGAATTTAAATGATGATCAAAAAATGAAGGAGAGAGGGAGGAAGGGAGGGAGGGAGGGAGGGAGGGCGTGAAGGGGGGAGGAGAGAGAGAGAAAGAGAGAGAGAGAGAGAGAGAGAGAGAGAGAGAGAGAGAGAGAGAGAGAGAGAGAGAGAGAGAGAGAGAGAGAGAGAGAGAGAGAGAGAGAGAGAGAGAGAGAGCCCGCGCACATTGGCACTTCACCTCTCAGAGCTGTCTCTTTACCTACTAGAGTAGCTCAGGGCCACTTCCGAGGGTTCTGAGGAAGGGAAGGGCCTAGTTCCCGTGAAATCTCGGGGTGTGCTGGGGGAGGGAGCATCTTACAAGGTTGTGCAGGGTGTCAGCAGAGCCTGAATGAGTGGGCAAGTGGGGACTGGGGTCCAATTTGCCCTTAGTCTGATTCCGGTCACAGACTGCTGGGGGAAGGGACACCCTTCACTGATAGATGCTAGCTTAGGGCAGCCAGGTGGCAGAGCCGACAGACAAGCCAAGCTGGGAAAGTTGATCTGCCCCAGTGGATCTCAGCTTTTTAATCTGGGTGTGCTGGGGCGCTCTAAACAGACTCTTTCAGAAGGAAGTTAAGGCATCAGCCACCTGGGAGGAAGCACGGGTGGCAGATGAGGGCTCTCACCGCAAACAGGCGCAGGACGTTGGCGACCATGATGGACACGGAGCTAGCCGAGGCGCCCACCACGGCCACCACTCGCTCTGGGGGTGCGGCGCGCAGCGGGGGGACGCCCCCAGGGCAGAGCACGCTGGCCTCGTCGCCGTCCCCGCGTCCTCGGATGAGTGCTTGCACGAAGCTCAGCGACTGCTCCAACGCATAAGTGTCCCGGGAGCAGGTGTCAAGCAGACGCGCGCCCAGACGCACGCCGGGCAGCAGCTCTGGGTCGGCGTTGACGCGGTCCAATGCGTAGAGCATCGCCTCCAGCCGGTGCACGCCCTGCTCCTTCTTCAGCGCCCCGCACGCGCGCCCTGCCGCTCCCCGCGCGTGCACCGGGAACAGACCGCCCAGGGTCAGGCCGCCCGCCAGACGCACGGAGCCCGCACCGCGCGCCACACCTGCCTGCAACAGCCACCAGGCCAGCGGCAGCAGCAGCACTCTGAGCCGCGCCATCTGCTCGAGGGATGCGGGAATGGAAGATACCGGGACGTCCTGAGTGCCAGTTGGCTCTGTTGCCACCCTGTACTCAGCTGCTACCTCGAGAATCTGGCCAGACACCCGATGCGCAGGAAAAGTTGATGACTCGGTGGCTCTCCCAGGCCTCCACAGGGCTGCTCTCAGCCTCCCTGAAATTGTCGCCCTCCCGAGTCCCTCCCGACAGTCTTCATGACCGCTCTCGCCCTGTCCCTCTCCCCACAGTTCCGGGCACCTCTTCTTCTGGACCCACCCCAGGGCATTTCAGGCTTCCTTCCCAATGGAGCTCACCTGAACCAACCTCTGGACAGTAGGACGCGTCTGCGACTGCTGTAAAAACAGGGCTCCAACCTAGAGGATTTAAGGATTCTGGGGAGGGGTGAGGAGATGAGAGCAGAGATCCCCTCCAGAGCTTGGGAGTGGAGGAAGGTCTCACTTTCCTCTCTCCCTCTCTGGCTCTCTGGTTGGTTATCTGAGTTTCGAGGTACAAGCCTGGATCCAGGCAACACCAATAAACTTCACCACTCATCCTCAATATGCCAATTAAAAAGACAGATAATAGTGAAAATCGGAGAAAAGAGATTTATATAATGTGTCTGGCCACAACGAAAAGAGGAACAAAGAGGTTCAGTGACATCCCCTCTTGCCGAATTGATCTTCAGAGGCTTGGGTTTAAAAAGAAAAAGACACGCACAGCTAAGTGGTTCTGGTCACCTGGGTTCAGTCTCTCCTGCAATGTGAAACTGCATTGTGACATCTCTTCCTGGGAGGCAAGCTGCACCAGGCTTCAGTCTTTCCCAGCATGAGACTCCTGGGGAATTTTAATTCTTCAGGATCTGATAGCAGAAGGAAGAGCACACAGGTGTCTCTAGAACTCCCTCTCCTGACAAGAGCTTGCAGACACGCTGACACTGTCCTTTTCTCCGGCTCTGTGCTCTTGATTCCTCTACCTAGCTAGCTCTTATTCTCCAAGCATCTCTTATTCTATTGTCTCCCTACCACCCCTACATCCTCGGAGTCTCCTTGTGTCTTCCTCTTTTTGTCTTTCTTCCTCCTTCTCGGTTTTGAACACTAGAATCTTTTCCCTTTTAAACTAATACTTTTTATGTACTTATTTGTGTGTGTGTGTGTTCATGCGCATGTGCACATATATACATGTGTAAAGGAGTTGTTTCTGTCTTCACCATGTGGGTTCTGGGGATTGTACCCAGGTTGTGAGGCTTAGCAGCAAGCACTTTCTCACCAGCGCCCAGTAGTTCCCAGCTGTCTCCTGGCAATCCTTGGGACAAAACTGTAAGTGACAGATGACAGGAGCAGAGGCTAAGTGAGCCAGAGTGTGCCAGCCCAATGAATTTGAAGGACACGTGCAACATAAGGCTTGGTAAGGGGTGGGGGTGGAAGGGAACAGTGCTGCACTTCCACATCACCAAACTTACAGAGAAGCTCTGCAGAGAGACTGTCCCATCCTACAGACTGGCAAATAGACACCTCAGCGAGTGATTGACAGCCCAAGGTCATGCAGCTGCCTTATGTTAGCAACTAGATTTGCATTCAGAGTGGTGTGAAACCACCAGCCCACCCACTGGTGTTGGAGGGAGGAAGGGCAGAGATGGTTGATCCTGTGGCTCCCATCTGGTCCAGGAGCCCTGAGCTGTTCCCCAGGTCTTTCCTAAAAGCAGCCCAACTCTCTGGAGCTGACACTCACTGTGAGCCTGTCTCATCTCATGGTTGGAACACAGTGAAGGAGTTTGGTTCAAAGATACTTTCCCATCTTTTCCAACAGAGGGCAGGATTGAGTTCTCTGAAGCTGGACCATCTTGGAGACAGATGCTGAGCCCCAGCTCTAGGGATTAGTGGACTCATTAAAGTGGGGCCTGAGCCAGCTTGTGCTCCATTAGGGCAGATTAGAGTGGCAGCAGAGGTTTGGGCATGGCTGGTGGAGAGAGCAGCAGAAAGATGCCACCATTCTCTGCATTCTCTTACACATCAAGTGGTTCACTCTCTTTTGTGGTGGAAGCTAGCTTAGTGGGGCTACCAGAGTGGGTGATACTGCAAAAGACTATCTGAGCAGATCGTGCATGCGTGTGTGTGTGTGTGTGTGTGTGTGTGTGTGTGTGTGTGTGTATCAACTATTTAAAGACTATGCATTTGAGGGTTCAATGAATGGGTGGTATCACAGCTTCTGATCTCTGGACAAGGAGTGCTGTGAATTGTCTACCTTCTCTCTTTTAGGGAGCATGTAGGCAGGAGAATTGTGGCATCCATCACTGCCTCTAGCACCTAGCACAAGGATGTTGAAAAGCATGGTATCTGTGTCAGGACCCATATATAGAAATCCATTTCATCTTGCCATGAGTTCAGAGAGCTCAGCTTGCTCCTATTGTCCTTAAGATATTAGCTTAACAGCTGCAGGATGCCCTGGTCTTGGTGGTGAATGGCTCTTATCTAAATAACAATAGACTTGGGCCCAGGTGGGTTAACTCTCACCCGAAAGCTAGGTGTGCAGCTATAAAGTGCCTGAAGGCCAAGTAGTATGTGCAGCTGTGGAGTGTCTTTAGGATTAGGGGAAGTAGTTGCTATCTGCCCTTTATACATGATAACACAAGTATTCTGCCATTGTCCCCACCTTTGGTTGATTACTTAAGATGGTGGATGAATAAACTGAGGGCATTCAATATGGACTGTAATTGCCCTCCTGACAGCTGTTCTGTGTCTACAACTCTGAACTTTCTTAGCTAGCCTTTCCCTCATCCACAGTCCCCCACTCAGGAACAAACCCGGGGCTGTTTGGCTGTTCCTGACTGCAGCCCCACAAACACATCTGCATCTGAGGATGCCCATCTAAGCCTCACTGTCCTGCATGGATCAGTGTGGAGCATGTGTAACTAAACAATCCCATACTGGCTATGTTTCTCATCCTATGACAAAGTAACTGACAAAAGCAAGTGATGCAGGAAAAGGGTTACTCTGTCTCACATTTGAGGGAACACAGTGATGCAGGAAAAGGGTTACTCTGTCTCACATTTTGAGGGAACACAGTTCTGTCATGGCAGGAAGGTGTGCCAGAAGGATTATGAGGTGGCCGGTCGTCACATTGCTTCCACAGTCAGGAAGTTGTATTCAGTTATAGTGCCATGCACATTCAGTGTGCATCTTTCCTCCTCAGCTTAACTGGAAAGCCCCTCACAGTTAGGATCAGAGATGTGTCTCCCAGGTGATTTCAAGTCTATTAAGAAGATAGGGAGGACTAATCACCACCACATCCCTCATCCTTCTGCTGCTTTGTCAGCTTGCCCTTCTGCTAGGCTCCTCCGCCAATTCCAAGGCAATAGTAGACCCCTCTGTGGCAGCAGGGTGTGTTGTTTAGAACAATCCATCATTGACACTCATTGTCACCTCCCCTCTGCAAGCTTCTGTACTCCATCATTGCACCACTGAAAATGTTCTTCAGTACAAGTGCCACATGAGTGTCCTGTGCAAAGAGTGGACTTGCCAGCTATAAGCACCACTCAATGCAGCCACCACAGGACAGCCTTGTGACAATCAGGGAAAGTAGCTCACCAAGAGTGAAGCGTCGTATAACTGGAATTTTTAAATATAGTGTACACACAACACTAGTCAACCACAAATACTAGTCAACTACAGAGTACTAGTTAACCACAAAGCAGAATGAACTGTCATTTGCAGCAAAATGTCTGGAACCAGAGGACATCACATGAAGTGAAATAAGCCAAGTGGAGACACACATTGCACTATTCTCTCATATATGAAAACAGCCTAGAAGTGGAAAGAGCCAGTAGAATTGGAGTTGAATGGGCAAGGTAGATTAATATGTGAAGCATATGTGTACAAAAATGTCACATGTGCCACTTACTAATATTTGTTAATAAGTTCAAGAGAATGAAACAGTGTGGAATGACTGCCGCAATAACTAGCATTTTGTTACCTCAAATATTTAACTTTTTGGGTGGTCAAGACATTTTAAATCCTCTGTCTTAGCAAATTTTGAATTTCCGGTACTTGGTACACAGCAACTTTCACTAATCTGGGCAATTTATCAAGGGTGTGTGTGATGACTATTCCTCTTATTTTACCAAGTCTGTGTATGCCCTGACTGCCATCACTTCATTTCCCCCAGCCCCCATCCATTTCCCAAAGGGAGTAAATGTCCTATATAATAAAAATCTAATGTGTTGATGAGAAAAACACCGGCTGGGGCTACATTTGAAAAGAGACTGTGAGTGAAATAACAGGTCTAGCCCCCAGCTTCATCTTCTAGTTATACCTGGCAAAACAGTGACTTCCCACTTGGACTCCAGCAAGGGATAATGCCTGGTGGGGACAACCCAACACAAGCCACAGGCCCCCTGACAGGTTGAAGCAAACTGCTTGGATTCACCGAAGAAAAGAGTTTTACAAACCCTGGATGAAATGTTGAAGGCTTGCCCAAACATGTCTTGATATTCTTGATGGGTGACTTGTGCCTTAGATGACTGGGCTGCCTTACAAACTGGTGCAGACTGGTGAGCCAACAACAGGAATTTGCTTTCTCACAGTCCTGGAGGCTAGAAGTCTGAAGCTAAGGTGGCACATGGGCCAGGTCCTGTGGGAGCTGTCCCAGGCTTGTAGATGATGGCCTTCTTGTGGCCCATTGTTGTGTGCATTCATCCCTCCCGCCCTCTTCGCATAGCCCAACAACTATCAGATGGGAGCTGGAGTTACTGAATCTTGATGGTCAACTTGAGCTAATAGAGAGATACCTAGAAGATCAGTGACATGCACAGCTGGTGTGCCCCTGAAAATGCTTCCAGAAGGACTGCCACATGTGACAGCAGCTAAGTCCAAAGACATTGCTTTGAATGTGGGCAGAACCAACGGAGAGAAAGTCGACCTGCCTGCACAAGCTCCATTCTTCACAGAAACGGTGTCTGTGGCCACTCCAGTCGTGGACATCAGGTTCCAGCACTTGTCATCTTCAG